TTTGTAACATAATAGCGAGTGACAGCACTCCCCATGAGGATCGGATTCACCAGGCAGTCGGATGCCGGGAATTCCGGGCGAATATCTTCTGAGATCCGTCTCGTCGAAGCACTCGTAAATTCTGAAGAATCTGGAAGCACTTCGGGATGATTCCCCGCGGCATAGACCCTAGGATTAATCTTCGGAAGATTGGAACGTTCGGTATTGGATTGTTGCCAAGAGAGTGGCCGTTGCTCCGCGGAGATTATATCTTGGCGTACGTGAGGCTCGAACGCAGAGTGAACCGCAGGAATTTACGACCTTTGGGATGCGTCGGGGCATCTTCGGGCGGCGACCGGTCTTATTTACAAAATATGTTTTTTACGACATTTGCAACGCGGTGTTTACGGCGGGTCGAGATGGAGCTTGGTTAGCTTCCGGACTGGGTCCGCGAAGAAATGTTTCCAACTCGACCGCGGATGGAAATTTCCAGAGCTTCCAAGAGTATGGCCGAATCCATGAAATCTGACACCTCGAACGGAATGCGGTCGGCGTCGTGTGGCGCAAGTCCAGATATTCGCTTCCAATAACAACATAACTGATGACCATCATTCCCAATGAATATTTCACAACTCGATGAAGGACGCAGAATTATCTAAGAACGGGTCTCCTGTTCGTCCGTCTTCCTGCTTGGCCTGGAGGCAGTGTCTCGGGTTCCGCATCACAGTCGATGGCACGCTCCAGCCGCGGATCGAGCGGGAAATCTTGGGGATTCCGGAAGCCGAGGATGATCCCCGCGGTCTGAGCGACACCTGGACACGAACCGGATTTCTCTCTCCCGCATTCTCTGAATGCCTGCGATCGACCGAAAATCCGATCGAGCTTCTCAGAGAGTTCATCATGAAGGGAGACCGGTGGAGGATTTCGCTGAAGACTTATAGCCCGCGGTATATCCTCACCTCTTGCTTCGCAGAGCAAGTTTTGGAAAAATATGACCTACCATTCTCAAAAAACCTGTGCTGACTGGCGTCGCGACTTTTTCGCGAAAATGGACATTGCGACTTCTCGATATCAGGTGGATTTTCCGTCGATTCACCGTCCCGATGTGCGCATTAGAGATCATTCGCCACTCCTGCGCACTTTAGGGAGGCGCTGATATCATCCGCCTCGGATTCCCTCTTCCATGCTTCATGTGGCAAGATTGATCCTGATGCTGATCGGATGCAAACTTCGATTCGCCCCTGATGAGAATCGTTCGAGACTTCTCCGGTGCTCCGATTTTCGCGTGAGGCGTCAAGTGTTCTGTCTTGGGAGAAGCCTGATCGGGATGGATGAATACAATGAATGAGTAGACATCCGATAAAAAACATCTCTAGCGCAGCCTGCACGAGAAGATGCTCAACGGTCAGCACCCATCTCCTAGATTTTCTTCAGAAGCCGTCCATCCGTCGACAACGCGGTGCTAATCAGATGGTTTCCAACCTTGATTTTTCTGTGGAAGCGCCTCCACAATCGAGAACGGGAAGTTGGAATGAATTCTGTATGCGGGCTGTCCCTGCGAGTCGCTGAGGAGGCTCGATCTTGAGGAGACGTTTCTGCGGGTTATCCCCTACATATGGCACCACAGGGTGATCCATCATCGTTCCGATTGGCACTTAGTATATGTAGCGCGCAATCATCGGATATGAATGATACCGAGTTTCTTAGAGGCCGGCTGGTGCTGGTATTCAGATGTCGCAATGGATTGCGATAAGTCAAGCCGAGATTCTCTCGTCTCATACCGCTCGTTAAGAATCACGATTTTCTGAGTCCTCTCCAAGCAGATGGTTGCTGAGGAAAACATCGCAAAAATCGACAGCAAGATTCTAGGGATTTTTTTTGAGAACTCGCCCGCATCGGATCTGAATTTTATTGGGTTTTCTAAACAACAGAGTAGAGCTCCATGAGATGCGATCGGGAGCTCTTACACATGACTCCGGTCTTCGGCCGCGACCGATCGATTCGCTTGGATTATGGTACCCGGGGGAATATGGATGAACAACTTCCATAGTAACTGCTCTTCCTGATGTCGAGGGGGAATTCGTATTCACGGCCGAGTAATCGACATTGCGATGTCTTCTCTGGGTACCGGGGGGAATATCTCGCGGGAAAGGGAGCCCACGAGGCGTGCCAAAAAATGACGATTTGTCGCCCTCCGTTCCGCTGCACATGTAGTTAAAATAGCCCGTCGAATCTTACGACCCCCTGAACCCGACACGTTCGTGGCCGGAAATAATAGTGAATGTCGGCCCACGTGATAATGCTTACGCTAGAACATACATATTGCTGGCTACGATACTCGAACGATTCATCCAGTTCTTCTATCTCTCCTTGCTGTCTTAATCAGCGCTGACTCATCACACGCTATTGGGTTTCTCGTTGGTGAAACCCTGAAGGCTGTGACGAGGTCTCAGGAAGAGTTACGGAGGCGCATCACTTCGAACGCGCTCTTCACCCCCGATGGCGCCCCAGAGAAATATTTTCATCATATGCCGTCGACGTAAGGCACCGTCGTCTCCATCTCGAAGCATTCGAATACACTTGAGTCGACGAGCGATGTTTGTTTCCAGCGAGTACAATGCACAATGACACATGGAATTCCCGAAAGTGCCCCGCTTACACGCAGTCATTCTACGTGACTTGTGAGACGCAGGAGAAACTCAAGATTCCATGTCCAGTATACAATGATCGCTAACGAAGAACAAGATGTCATGTTGGCTCATGCATACTTGACATCGGCGAATGCTGATCCTTGTCGGCCGCGGAAACATTCGGAGGGATTGGTATGAATGCGGTCATGCGTACCTCGACATTTCATGGGTCAACCCCCCCTTGTCCCATGGACGCTTATCTTTAGGATCGGAAGTATGCGCTGCGTATGAATCGCGACCAGTCGCGTAAGCGCGCCGGAGGTTGCACGTCCCAGATTATTGGCCATAATGAGGAGCGTCTCCAACGCTCGGGGTTTTTGACCGCAAAACGAGCGATTCGCGATTCAGATTAGAACGGAGAAAAACCGAAACACCGCGGCCGGCACTCTGCTCTCCTTGAGACAGAATCACTCTCTCGCTTTTCTCTCCCAAACACTCACGCGACTGGGCTTCTCAGAAAAATAAGAGTCTGAAGGACTCGAGGGAAAGAGTCAGCCGAGTCTGACAGCCCTTTGCCGCGGCGAGATATCCCGACCTGCGTCAGCGGTTCCGGCTGGGGATATTCTGCTGACCTGATATCTTCTCGTGGCCTTGCTGTCCTCGTGCTAGTGTCACGCCTTAACTTACGTATCTTTTCCGTCCTACCGTAGTTCGTATCGGAGATTGTGGGTCCGGTGTACGATTTTTTTCCTACGATTAATGCTGTGCTTCCTCAAACGTTTTCGTCAGCTCTTCTCGATAATCTATTACGCGCTGTGACCGTCGGAATCCTTACAATCTTCGCTCGACGGCCGTATTCTCAGATTTCATGTAGTGCCATTGTCGAGCCGTACACTACACTATTTACTCGAGAAAAGAGAAAAGGACAGCGTTGTGTTTCTGTCCTAGTTCGGGTTTAGCAGGGCCTTGTTGCTCTGTAGGCACATTTATGAGATTTGCTCGTCCGCCTTTTTCTCTCACCGTTCGAACTACAGAGAGCAGAGATGAGACGTGAGCAGAGCGACGCACGTCCTGCGACAGGCTCTCTACGACGGTCGCGGCCGTCTCGATGACGCCACGCATTATATGAATCATACAAGGTTACGCACAATACTCCCGATAACAGAACTGTTTTCTTCGACCCTCTCGCGCAACAGCGACGTGCGGAACCTGGCCAAGGTTCGAGGGTGTGGCCTTATCGAGGTGAAGGTGGCTGATGAGCGGCGAATTATTTACATTGATTCAGAGATGCAAATGGCTGTGGGTGGTGGATTGACTTATGATTCTCATTGATCGGATCGACTGCGCGCTGTTTTTTTGTAGTTCAAGCGAGAAATGTTCCATCCGGAATCTAAGTGAGGGGGATTTTCTTCTGAGTCGACTTCGATCAGCGCTCTCAGTAACAGTTTTGCTCCCGAATGGCGAAACGCTGAGCTGCGCGCAGGTCCTAGCCAGCCGTCAGCCGTCCCTGAACTCGATGTCCATTCGCGATGGAGGCGAAAGAATCATCCAACAGCAGGCATCGTTGCGTCGTGGCCTCTCGACCTACGACGGCGGAGACCCACTCCGTTCCCAGTCGCTGTGATTCTCATTCATTCCATTGACCGACGGCGACCAGAACACTCGAAATACGAATCGGAAAATCATTTCATCAGCAGGTGGATCCCTGGATCATCCACTTGAGCCGTGGACTCACATGCCACGGAGGCAGTTGTTGTATTGTTGTCCTCTTCCTCCGGTAGCGACCTCTCCCACAGAAACCCTCTCCAAGAAGCTTATGGCCGCCTCCTATTAATAACAAGAAGACCGACCCGCGTGCCTCCAGTCTTCGCGGTTTGATGCAGAGAGAGGATCACGTTGAATAACTTCCACTGCTTTTCCCCTCGCATTTCACAGCGACACTATCGACTACTAGCACCGATCGTTGTTTCGACTGCTGCGAGTGATATCGTACAAGCGAAATCAATATTTCGGTTCGCGTCGACATTTATTTTCTCCCTTTTGACTCCGAGTGCACTCCCGAAGCCCACGCAAACTTCGAAAAGTCTCTTCGTTTCGAGAAGCATCGATCCAGAGGAAATTCGAGAAGCTCCATACCAGTGAAAAACTCCAAAAATCTTCAAGCGAATCTCCGTCATCATGTCCAACGAGAAATTCGCCGGAATCCAACCGCTTGGCTTTTTGCACGACGTACGGACCGAGCGATCCAAGCCAATGAAGACTCTTCCCATTCAGAGAAATTCCCACAGAGCATCTAACAAGAATCGGAATTTCAACCTCAACTCTTCGAGCTCGAAAAATGTTACCAAGAACGGCTTCAGCAATTCCTCTGATGTTCCGAGTGGCTCATACGCTTCGCTCAACTCAATGCCTGGATTCTGCGCCCCATCTGGCCAGAATATCACGCAGTGGCTCTGCAGGCACGCCGTCAAAGTGAGGAAGATGTGTCGTAGAGCAAGCGTTTCTTCGACCGAGAAGAAGAAAATAGTGCAACAGAAACTCGCCAGGTTAGTCCCACGGAATTTCTGTGCGTAGTTTTAGGTTTTCCTCGTTCCTAGGAATGCGTATCCACGGATCGGCGTGAAGAAAATCCAGCTCCTCCTCGAGTTCAGGCGGATCAAAGATGACTAGAGGCAATTCTGCTCGCGAACGTGTCGCGGCGAAAATCCCCAACATGCCAAAACATGTTGGGCGCGTGGGGCTGAGACGGTCGAGGCGACGGGCGATCGAACTCAAGCCCTCTCGAACCCGGGTCCCGATGAGAATCTCCACGTGAGAAACTCCGGCGTTGAGATCAGGCGGGGCGTGCACTCTGTTCAGGGCGCGCGAATCTAGGGCCATTAGCGGGGCGAGACCCGCCCGCGTTATAGCGCCTCTCTGACCTGACTTTCGCCTTCTCTTCGACGAGGCGTCGCTCAACCGAAAACTGAATTCAAACTCCGGATGGATTAGAGAATTTTGATCAGCGATCCAAGTATCGCAGGGAGCCAAGCGAAGTTTATCACTTGCTGATGCAAGACGTCAAGCTGCTCCGCAGAGATCAATTCCAAGATCGTACTTGATTGATGCTTGAAGTCTGATTACATCGTACATCACTCTGATGAGAGCTGATGGAAACATCCCAAGTCAAGGTTAGATCGTCCTAATGAGCTGGCTGGCTCTTCCCCTTGGTAGGTCTTGCCTTGACCTGGAAACAGTGGTGTTGACCGCAGATCTCAATGCGGCTGCTCAGCCTAGGATCGCTTGCAGAATCAAAGAAGACTCGAGGCCGTGAAAGCCGGCTCTCCTCATCTAGATATCCCATGAGGTTCACGGATCCCGGAGTCGACCGAAACTTCCAATGTTGTGCCTCGATCCGAAAAGCTTTTCCGTCGAGTCCATCCAGCTGGAACCCGCATTGGTCGAGAAGGAGAAACTCAGCTCGAATTAGAGGGCAACAGATGGTGCGGTCAATTCCGCATACGTGGGGAAAGTTTCTCCAGTATGATCCGTCTCCCAAGTGCGCATGAGGCTTGTGACGAATTGTCCAGTTTTGGGGAGGAGATATTCGATGGCGAGCGATGCGACGGAGCAAACGTGGCCCTAGCTGTATGCATTCCGAAGGTCGCTAGGGACTTTCGGGGAACCAGCGTTTATCTCCCTGTTCACGAACTGCTGACGGAGCATGACGGAGACTGTCTCGTCGTCGTGTGGATCTCCGGCTACCGAGTGTCTCACGCCTTTCGATACAGATTACGACAATTCTTTAGTGAAAAAGTAAACCTTCAATAGAGACATCCCGATAGACCCTAGCAATCGTATCTGACAACATGAGAGTCGGTACTTATTCGTGCAATCAGCGCAAACCTCTGCAAATCGACCGAAAACTTCGCTCATGCGCTCGGGACGCGGCGAGCACCGATATGGAACCTAGATATAGAAAATTCACCACTTTGATGAGGTAATTTGTCGTTGGCGGGCAAATCAATTTAATCTAAGGGACGATGCGGGTCCCAAAGCGATTCATCGATTCAAGTTTTTTCTCGAAAACCGCCTCAAATATGTATTATGAAACGCTGCGAGCAGATCTGCCGGCTCCAACGCGGAAAGTGTGCGGCTCGAGGCTCAGCCCCGCCCACAGATGAGTCACAGCGAAGCTCTCTTGCCAATGGAAAATTCCATCGAGGAGGCCTTAGTGGAGTCTGAGTAGCAGTCGTCTGGCGCGCAGACTGAGGCATTTCACCTGTTGGCTCAAGATTATTCGAAGGAACGGGTACTGCATCGAGACCGAATAATCGTTTGATTCGCCGCTTCCGGAAACAGGCCTCGCTTCCGAAATGAACCGACGCACGGCGAGACCTGCTGCGAAGTAGGTTCTCTCGCTCCTCGAGCGTGTGGGCCGCGCGGTTCGTTCTCGAGTCGAACAGGAGCTCCCGATTCCATTGGTCCAGCCTGCACCGGCAAAGAAGAATAATACTTTCAAGCCCGGGATTTGGAGTTTTGTAGCACCCCAGCTCCAAAGTCACGCTCTCCAGAGTCCAGGTGTTGTTTATTCGACGGAAAAAAAAGCGTGATCTCGGGAATTTCCGAGCATTCCGGACTGGCTCGGGAGGAACATCTTGACGAGCAATAGCTCCGGCAGCTCGAGTTGCATGGCATTTCCATTCACCTTCGAATGAATGCTACGGATGAGCGGACGATCAGACAGAGTTCTCTCGGTCCTTCTATGAATTTGCCTTCGTAGTTGCGTGTGCGTTCGCTCCAAGGCCCAGCCTACGAAGCCCCATGTGTTCTCTCTCGCTTCCACTTTCCTAACCGGCCCTTTGCCAACGCCGAGCTGGTCGAATGTCAGTTCTTCGTTCACCGTTGATCAGGTCTCATCGGACGGTCGTCGCTGCGGGTTCACCCGCTTGTCTGCCTTGTTCAAGTTTGACGAGTCGCCGCATACCTTCTCGCCGATTGTTGAACTGTTACATATTACTTGTTTCCTGCTGTCGTTGACCACTTGGAGTCAGCTCGGTGCCGTGTTGGCCGAGAGTCAGTCGCGAGGAACGTGTCTGTCATCGTGCGAACGGAGGCGCGCGCGCGCGCGGGCAACGTAGAGCTCGTCAGAGCGTCTTGAACGTCAGGTGGATCGAACTCTGCGACAAGGTTCGCGTAGAAGACTTTAATCCCGCGTGATCAAGCAACTGTCACAATTCCAGCCGGAAGCTCAACTAGTTCAAGCGTCTCGGCCGCAGTGGACTCGTCTGAGGTCGCCCAGAACTTAGATCAGTGCAAGATGTGCTCCACGATCCACGCCCATGAGCAGAACATTTCGTTCATCTCGTTGCTTCCGAATGTCAGGTATATCTTGACCCTTTTTTCGAAAATTTTTGTTTCTGATTCTCTGAGACTCTGGACCGAGCACTGGATCTCAAAAGCTTCCGATCCGTGCCAGGAGTCTAGCGATTCGGAACGTCATCCTAGAGTCAATGAGCATATCACCGTCTGCTGGCGTGTCATTCTCAGAGATGACGGCTACGTCTGTCTCGAACTGAACGCGCCATTCGTGCGATCGTAACAATGACGATGAGTTGCGAATCGATCTGAAACTCGGTCCCGATTCCGACCGTACTCGGCACCAAGTATCGTTTCCTGCCTGGAACTTGAGCCGCATGACGATCATTCGACGAATTCGCGCACGAAATATTCCAGCCGATGCCACAAATTTCGCCGTAATAATGACCCAAGATCGCATCTTATGATGAAGCTATGATTCGCACCCTCTTAGTATGTATATCGAATTATTCGCGTGTGAGAATCCGTGAGACGAGGGCGAATCAGCAAAATTCACGGCAATAATAGCGAGACCTTAGACCGAGACCCATACCAGGGCTCGAGTCTGAGCTCGGGTCTGAGGCGGTTTGCCTCTGTGAGGCAGCATTATCGGCGCCAACGTGGCCCTTGCCCAGCTCAACATATAGTCGCTGCCATGAGATGCACGAGGCAATGATATTCGTACCGTCAGACCATGCTTCCGAAGGCTTAATGCGCATTTTACGGAAAACTCATGGAATTCGAAATATTTTACGGAATCAGGGTCGGAGAAATTCGGTCACTGAAAGCAGCCATTTTCTGGTCGGTGAAGACTCCAACGATCGTTCTTGTCAACGGGTCGTCAACCTTATCGGAATCGGCTCCTTTCCAAAGGAGCGGCGCTAGCGAAATCGACTCGTCAGAGCCTTTCTCGTCCAGAAGAGAATTCTCGCCTCCTCTGGAATGAGATTGGAGCCGCTGGAAGGTCTGCTGAAATGAGAAACAAGAGCCGAGCCAATGTTTGTCCGCTGAATAATTGTGGATTGCTCTCGCCGACCGCGCTTAAATATTCAGCGCTCCCGAGCCCCCCTCAAACTCGCCGTGACGTCTGGGTCATTTTTCGCAAATCAAGTGTCAATCATACCCCAAGGTTCATTCGCTCACCCCGCTCCGACGTCGATTTCTATTCTTCTGAGGACGTGGCGACAGCGCTCGGTCGCTCTTAGCCTGTCATCGACTAGACGGCGACGTAATTATTCTTCTCTCATCGACCTTGATATTCCTGGTCTGGGAGGGCCCCGCGTCGGTAAAGACGAATGACTGATTCGGAGGGAATGTTCTGCTCCCACGAAATTGGAAGCGGAAATTGGGCATTAATCAAAAGTTGTCATCGAAGAACTGCGCAGTTCGCATTGTTCGACGTTGAGCGCCACGGTTTTTGCGCACTTAGAGTCGGGTAGGTTTCGGCCTTGAACCCTCCCCCATTCCTCTTCACCAATCCACCTGTCTGGCAGCCGAGAGGACTCGAGTCGAAGCTCGAAGACAAGCCTAGACTCTATCTCCACCTCTCCTTACTACATATCAATGCCCGGTCTGGTTCGTATCTGAGCAACGGAGCAACAGTCTGAGATTATCATTATTATTTGATTATAACCAGTTTATGCCTCGTTCGCCCCCATTCGTATCCTACGTGCTCCCGATATTCGAGCTCCGATTTTATCGGAATTCCGCACCGGGTAGCTCATGGAAGGATAGCTGACAGGCTGATAGGGTCATCCGGCGCATCGCAACTCCGCCCGGGAGATGAGACTGGCGAACATCACTCGCAAGCGTGTACTTCATATCGATCCCATCGATCTCAACTATGTCTTGACCGCGTCGCAATAGTCTCTCAGACGGAATCCGAGCAACACTGACGCCTCGAAACCTAGCATACTAGAACGAGCTTTGAGGGTGGAAAGGTCGAGTTCAAGAAATGAACTCTAATCTCTGTCCGTAGATGTCCGAGACCGTATAAAGTCCATCGAACGATGGAGTATGGTCCTCCCGTGCGTTTCGGGTTGCAATCAAGTCTAGCCGTGGAGCTAAATCGGTGTCAGACGGGTCGCCGATCTCAAAGTCCGATACGGATACATTCCCGATAGCGACGAGAGGAGACGAGAATAGCGTCGAATGAAACAAGGAATACCAATGCGGCGCATCTCGGTGCTGGACAATTTCACGCGACAGGAATTCCCCGAGCGCCGCAGGATCTGCGACCCGTCGGAGATTTCCGTCTGTGCACATACTCAGAGTATGCGATGATGAAAAACCGTCCGAAAATAGGCAATCTTCTACAAACAGGGATTCCCATAGCCTGTCCCTGGACTTCGGCTCGGCTCTGGCTCGCGACTGCGACGGCGAGAACACTCCGGCAGTTTTCGACGTGTGAGAACTCGGTTCATATGGGAATGTTTCCCCGCTATCTTGACGCCACAAGCGTCTGAATCGTAGACTGCCTGAGAAGAAATTCGTTCTCGAGACCACCGTCATCTCTCGACTCGCTCGGCAGCCAGGGCTCGCAGAGTTTGAAGAATGCCGAGGCGGAGACTCTGAAAAGTAGACCGAATCGTCATTAAATCGCTCCCGCGATCTTTCATAGGGACCGTTCTATAATAATTATTATATGTACGATTGATATTTCAGCGAGCCGGAGAAGAACGTCTCCGTCGCGGACACTTGCGTCGCGTCGAACGAGATGAAGAACAAAGCGTATAAAATTTGCCGAGAGTTCCTTTCTGGGAGTTGGAAGTCGATCTCATCGAACGATATGATCTTCAAGACGGTTGGCGGAGGCCTCTCGAACCTCCTCTACTACTGTTCGTTGCCAGAGACGCACACCCCTCTTTGTGGGGAACCTTCTCAGGTGAGACAGGACGAGATCGGCCCGGAACGATCCGGAGCTCGTATTTGCTCCGAGGAGCGAACGCTGGGTCTCAATGTCCCATGCGATCGATCCTGAGGCGAACCCCAGAGACTGGATTCCTGCGAATACTAAGTAATTCGAGTGAACGTTTTCCGCAACTGCTCGGACGTAGAACGTTCCGTAGCGTCGGCGAGGTCCAACCGACCTGCGATTGCGTCTAATACCCACTTTTTGTTTCCAGGTTTTGATGAGAATGTACGGCCAAATTCACGGGGACCAAGACGCCTCGACTATCACCGAGTCGATCATCTGCACGCTCCTGTCAGAGAGAGCTCTGGGACCTAAACTATTCGGCGTGTTCCCAGGCGGCCGACTGGAGGAATACATTCCGGTAAGATAGAATCTCTAGCCCGAGCCAAGACATCGATACTCTTGGTTTTTTTTTGTCGTAGATCGACCGCTAGCGATCCGATCCATTCTTATCCACCGTCAGTGGCGGAGACAAGAACACGGAGCAACCGTTCGCTATATTTAGCCTACCGGCTCATTAGGCACTTTTGTGACGCAGCATGTCTGCCTCGCTTCGTCGGGCTCGGCAGAGTCTGATCGCGAAGCCGCAACAACTCGAGCGCGGCTCCATCTTCAAATGTGTGTCTAGATGTATTTCGTTGTTTGTTCTCTCGATGGAAAGCTTTCTGACGCAGGTCTGTTTAATTCTTTGCAGGCTCGGGCTCTGGTTACCGAGCAGATTCGCAAGCCGGAGATTTCCTTGTCTATCTCACGGAAGCTTGCTCGGCTGCATGCCCTCCAGGCACCGCTGACAAAAGAGCCGACATGGCTGTTCGACAACATGGAGAAGTAAGTTTCCAGAACGAAGGCCTCTCAATGATAATTGCGAATTTCCTCGAAGACATCCAAACAATGAGCGTCTAGACGGAGCGACTTGCGGTCATGGGTATTAAATTCCGTGGATCGGTTACAGATGGCTGGCGGTCCGCAACGAAATCCTCCCGAACTCGATACCGAAGGCCGTGAAGCCTTTCGCGAAGAAGCTCATGGAATTCGACTATAAACGAGAAATGGCTTGGCTGCGTGAGATCTTCAAGAGGGCTCAGAGCCCGGTGATGTTTTGCCACAATGATCTGCAAGAAGGTTAGTTTGACGGCTCTGGTTCGGCTCCGCGACTCTGGCGGTAGCCGCCGCGAGGTCTCGAAGCCTCTCAACGAATGAATACATATGGTCTGCGTCGGAACTGTGGTTTGTTTCCTGATTTGCCCGTAGATTCACATCCGAGGTCGGGACAACCCTTGCTGACGCACGAAATGCAAAGGTCGAGGTCGATTTCTGTATTTTTGTTGTTGAACGAAGCGCGTAGCGAGACATGATCGACTCTAGCTCCTATCAAGATATGCGCACTCAAAGTTCGTTGCGGATGTGTCGCCACCCGTGCTCACGTGAAGCTTGAACCGATTCCAGGCAACATCCTACACATGGAAAGCAAAGAAAGCGACGGAAGCTCGGCAGATGAGAACCTTGTGTTCATCGATTTCGAGTACTGTTCCTACAATTACAGAGGATTCGACATTGCAAATCATTTCTGCGAATGGGTATGTACTCGCAGAAGTCTCACGGGTGTGCTCGATTCAGATCCGATGCTGGACTTGTCTGATTTCGACGATGCCTGGCTTCGGTACCTCCGAAAATTCTGACGTCAGACTCTCTTTTCAGGCGTACGATTACAGCCACCCTGAATACCCGCTGTTCAAGGAGTCCATCGATCAGTACCCCACCGAGGAACAGAGGGTGTGTATTCGATCGCACTGCGACCTACTTTGTATACGAGATCGCATGACGGCTCGAGAGGGAACCCGGGCGCCGCTTTTCCGCGCGGAGCGGAGCGCCGATCGCCATCGACAACGAGTTTATAATTTTTCTAAAATTCGCAGCGCGCCTTTTTGGAGGAGTACCTCAAAACTCTGAAATCAAGCTCCATCCACGGGGACATCGATCCGAAAGTCAACACGATCGAACATCTCCTGGAGGAAACGGAGACTTTCACCTTGGCCTCTCATATTATGTGGAGCCTGTGGTCGCTGAACTCGGCTCATTCTTCGAAAATCAATTTCGGCTACTGGGAATACGGAGCGGCTCGACTCCGCAGGTGAGTCCCACGTTTTCCATTACGAGTTCACGACCTGACGTTTCGACCTAACTTCGTCGCAATAGAAATGTGGAGATCCACGTGGGTTGATGCGAGCGTGTGCGAGTGGCCGATGTGTTTCCTTCGATGCACAGGAGCACAGAAGAACGTGACCTTGATTCCTTTCAGATATCTGGAGCTCAAAGAGCGTCTCATGGAACGACTCGAGCTCTCTTCCAACTAAGGGAGGAGAAGGGAAACCAGGGAATTGCTGATACGACAAGATACCATTGGCCTCTCCAGCTCCTCTAGCTTCAGCCAACGACTTTTTGTGCCGTTCCAAGAGTTGAAATCTGAAGACGTTTACCTTCAGAAATCTTCTGCCCTCGAACCCCCTCCCACGTATACACGGCGCGCAAAGCGACCGGAAGTCGACGTTGCGACTCCGACATTTTGACGACGGTCCTGGAAGAGGATGACGATCGAGATGCGGACACTAATTAACGAACAACTGTTTGCGCATGACAGAGAATCGGAGATAGAGTTAGAGAGAAGAAGAGGGCGCCAACCTAAAAATATAGACACTAAGTGATATTTTTACGTTCAATGTTAATCTCGATGGCTTGTCGACCTACCTATTCTACGGTTTCGCTGTTCGAAAGAGGAAGAAAAGATATAAAGCAAGGCGCGACTTAGGCTAAATGATCTTCAATGGTTTCCGAAGTCTTTAAGGAAGCTTGAGGTTGTTGAAGTAGCGGAGGCTCGCGAGGCGATACCTCCGACGAAGCCGAGGTATCAGGCTTCGATGTAAAGTCTTTGAGGAGCTTTTCCTTTTTGAATAGTCACGAGATGCTCCTTTGAAGCGCAGCGTCCTGTCTATTGGCTTTGTGACAGGATGCTGCTGCTGCTGCTACTCTTGTTGTAGCCGGCGGTCGTAAGACTTTATCGATGGGGAACTATGGGAGGTATCTTGAGGCTTAGGTGTTCTCGCGAGCTCACGACAGAACGTATCATACAATTATTTCTATATATATCATTAGCTGTATACAAGTACGAGACGAAATCCCTAGGTAGATACCGCTGCAGAGGGGAAATCTGACTGGCATGAGACATTTTTCATATCTCGGTTGAGGGTTCGTTTTTGACCTTACTTAGAGACCAATAAATCCTAGTTAGAAGAAGAGGATGCCCAAATGCTATGCCACGGAAACCTTTCGAACGTTGATGACCCGCACACTTCCTGGTACATAATTGTTCTCTGTAAATTGATTGACCGTTATCGGTGATATATAATATATTTATGATAAACGGATCGTATTTTGACGGAAGAGTTGAACTGTTGAGCGACGGTAGACGAGTGCGAAGAGAGAAACAAAGTGAGAAAGAGAGAAAAGATCACTGAAAGACGGACGTGAAATGATGCCAAAGCGTAACACGTATAGTGATGGACTATTTTGTTATAAAAATTGAAAACCTCCTGTTCTTATGTTTTTCTTGATAACATTCGACAGATCCTTCATCACGGACGAAGAAAGGTTTTCTTTCCTCTTGGTCTCAAAGGACGTTAACCGTACAGGATGATCAGCTTCTGGTTTTTCTCGAGACTCTTAGTCGTCACCATCGAGCGTTCACGCTCGCGGCAACGCATGATCCGAATCTCAGGGAGTAAGTGTGGGAATCAAATTGAACTGGTTTCCGGGGAAGTATTTCCGCTTCGGAGACATTCTCCTTCTTCTTCTAGAAGTCGATAAGTATTACCTGAACCCGAGACGCGGAAAAAAACGGACGATAATGCGGTGAGTCTCTTCTCTGGAATCTCGCCCCTTCGTGGGAAGAATCAAATCGGGACGAGCCTCGTATGTATTTCGGAAGTTCGGAGTTCCGCTGTCCGTGTGCCGAGTCGGGTTTCCCGCCTTAAGCGTTCTCTGTTCCAGAAAGGGTCATTTTTATTTTTACTTTGAGCGCGCGAAGACCCTGACGATCCCCTGAGGGACCCGTTCCTCATTTTTTCTCACATCTTGTACTTTCTCCCCTTTCGCTGGGGATGAATCTTACCGACCGATAGCGCTCCGTATTTATCTCCTGCATTTCGCTCTGGAGATTCGCGATATTCGACATCCCGCTTGCCCACGTGGGCCCAGCAGGAGTGAAGTCTAATTTGTCGGCCGCCGCACCGTTCCATTTGAGTTCATTTCGCGCAGATAGAAGTTAAAAGTTGCTTCTAAAGTGTCGTCTGTATGACGGAGAAGGGGACCAAATGGCACATCGATGACGACGCGCCACTGGACTTCCGGGAAAGCGGTTGTGGGGTCGCGAGAGCATTCCACGAAATGCGCATCGGATTCCGTCTGAAATGAAATCGGACGGCTAGGATCGGTTCGACGCTTATGGAGAACGACAGCCTACGTTTCAACTCCTACTATGTCTATGTGAATGTAAGAAAAACATGAGTTTAATAAAGGTATTCATGTCTTTAATATCCATGCGTCCTATTCACTCGAATTCAGTATCTCCCACGATCCGCGGGGCTTACAGGATAATTTGTGGCAGCTTAGGACAACTCCAGTCTGTTATCGCCACATCCGGCTCATTCTCATGGGGAGAAAAGGATTCCGGACTGCATTCCAATATCGACCCGTATCGCTTATGAAGGGACAGCGGAGCTCGAGCGATTGGGACGAAAAATCCGCACAGGGGATGCGGGGAAGACTGCTGCATCCTCCTGTCCGAACCTCGGTAGATTCCTGAAACGCCTGCAGACTCTCGGCGTACATTCAGAAGTTTGACGAACGAATCTCCTTATCGACTCAACTTCCGTCTCGTTTAGGCACGCCCAAAGATCCGGTTCTCATCCCGTGGCTTCGAAGTGCCGTGGCTCGCGCTTGCGCGTCTGCCCCGCTGGCTCTCCCTCCATGGGATAGCTCCCCCGATATATCGCCGGGTACTTCGTCTCCGTCAGAACTTATGAGGAGCACACCGGAGGCATCGCCGATCGCCGGACAGAATAATCTCGGGTTCCGATGAGGAAACTGATTCGAGACCTTGCCGTGCTGCAGTGACGGAAACTTTGAAGGCAGCGGGTCGGAGCTTTCTCGAATTCCCGAAAGGATAATCCGTCCGTCGAGGATGCCACAGCAGCATGGAGAAGAGCGAAGTTAGATGGAGCGATGGAGAAGAGAGGGATTCTACGTTCTCGTGTTCCGGGATCTTCCGCACAATACGGACGGGAGCTCCGTTTATCTTCCAGGTTTCGGCTGCGGGATGAGGTCCCTTCCGGGCTTGCGCATCAAGTATGTCACTCGAAGGGTCCTAGGGTACTCGACTCAAGGTTATACTTTCCTTACGATCCTCTGCTCCAATACACAGTAGAAGCCGTTCGCCCACGAGGGCCGTCTTGACTGACTCAGGACTCATTTCGGCCATCTCCGAGTTACTCCAATGCCGCGTAAGCCAATATCCTGCATCACGCATCTCAGGGCGTGCTGAAACTTGGACCCATTCCCGAGCATGGAGTCGGCGCAGAGCAAATCAGGGCTGGGATCGGAATCGGGACTCAAGGGCTGGGAATCGGGTAGCATCGGCGGATTCATGGGGGCTCGAACTCGAGGCATTTTAAGGCCCCCAAGAGAGGAAATTCATTATGGTTGTGCTTTGGAACTCTAAAAAGAGCGAATGAAATGCGTCACCGTGTCTGGTCGTACGACTGAGTAAGGTCTAAGGCTTCGGACATCGCTCGTGGCATGGCCCCCAGGGACGGATCCAAGAGACGAATGCCAGGAAGATCAAGACCGCTCTCGGATTATCATCATGAGAATCCCCCGGATCGTACCTAGTTTTTCTCGCATGGAATTAGTCTTCCCTCTGACACCGGGACCGATCGGTATGGCGATTCATTACGCGGTCCCTCGATTCTTCTTCATCGACGGGACCTTCCACATTCGTACCCGATTCCGACGTGTCGAGTGAGCTTGAGTTGAGCTCACGCCTGCGCGAGTTGCGCTCGGGTGCTTCCCCCTGAACATGCTGTCAAATCTTTTCTCGGTAATTTGAGTCTCCAGTCGGGCGCCTCGATATGTTCGACTATCTTACTTCCGAATGCCCAGGACGGAACGTTCTATTCGCTCGGATGATTTTTTCCGGAGCAATCAAGAAGACGCTTCGTTGGACCCCCGAGAGACCTATTCTCAGCGATTCGCGCCGAGATCAAGCAGGACGAGACGATTCTCCTGCTCAGTGTCATTCCTGGATCGAATCGGACCGTCATTTCCAATCAATGGCTAGCTCCTCGCCAAAATGATCGATCGACGCGAAGAAACTCTGACGAGCGAGGAGAAAAATCGAAGACTCGGAATGATGTGCTTAGATATCCCTCGTACAACGGACCTCAATAATAATTATTCGGGTGTTCGAGGGAACGTTCTTACGCGTCGGTCAAAATGCCCGTCAAGCTCAAGATGAGGCTGCCCACCGTCAACCAACCCTTCGGCGGAACCGCCTGCGCTCGAGACGGAGCCGCGAGCGGCCCCTTTTCTCCTTGGTGACAGCGGGAGCGACGGCGGCTACGCTTCGGAGAACCGTTCCGCGCTTTAAGGGAAATCTTCCGTCGGATAGGAAGGCACTCGATGCAGCCGCGGGATGAACCTGGCAAAGCTTTGTTGTGTGTTTGGTCGCCGTCGACATCAACCAGTTTAGTGAAACCGGTGTTGAAAAACATTTTGCCGTTCGAGTTGGTTTTTTTTCAGCGTCGGGGTTGATTCCCCGAACGAGCTAGCCTATGAAGTGAGTATTTCAGAATTTGGGAAAGAATGTCCCTCAAACACTATCGTGCGTTGACCCAAATGCCGACCAGTGGTTCAAAATTTTGACAAAGCAGAAACTGGTTCGAGGCACTTCATACTTCCACCCCATCAATTGACTTCATTTCTTCTGATGGATCGTTCGAACTCATCAGTGGTTGCCTGAGTCCTCTTTTGTATGGACCGATGAGTCCCGAAACGAATGTGACCGGAACTTTGCGCCATCAAAGTTTGCGCCTTGTCCGGCTCGCACGCACTGGAAACCGTCTGAATCTGATCCGAGATTGCGCTCAACTCTCCGAGGAGTGCGCATCATTCGGATTTCCGACTCGAAGACTCTGAACCCAACCGAGAATCCCGAGTCTTCACTTCGAACATTGGGATGAATCATATGATGAGGTGCTTCTGCCAAGAGCGCTGTCGAGCTCCCCGTGAAGTTCGAAACTCGGGCGGAAGTGACCTTCAACCTAATGTCATACGAGCCGGAGCTGATCGGCTTCAGTTTCCGGAAAGTCGTTCAGGCGGGCGCCTCCTGCTCGAGCCGTCGCTCCCGTGCCGGAGTTCGAGCCGGAGCTCGCGCTGGGAACAGGGGGGAAAACCGCCCGCGGAGGGCACTCCCGAGAGGAAATATGCGGGAACTAAGATTTCCGTAGAATTGTAACCTGTTTCGATATTTTGTGGTGAGGAGCGGCTCCGACCGGAGCAGTCTCGCCAAAAAGTTCTCGCGTACGATAAGTCGCTTCCGATCCCCCGTGGAATCGATTCTCGCATCGGATAAAGCAATTCTAATTCTTCCAGGATGACTTCCCTTCAAGACGGCACCTACCTCGCCCTGATGGGCTTAGCAGAAGAATTTCGGACGATGAATCCTCCGAATATGCGAAACTGTGTCAAGTGCTTGACGGCCATATTCCAGTTGAACCCCATGCCCGTCGTCGAGCTACAGGTTCGATTCCATCTTGGTACGATCCTGACGACATTCGCTGGCAGCCTCGACCAAGCCCAGGATCATCTGGAGAAGGCGTTCTACATAATTGTGCAGCGTCAAGTGGAAGACACGAGCGACATGAAATTTCACATAGCGAACAATTTGGCGGACATCTACGCGAAGAAAGATCAGCGGACGAGAGCGACGAGCGTGCTCCAGCAGGCGGTTGACCTCAGTCGGAACAACACGTTCTGGCATTGTCGGTTCTTGTTCAAACTTGTACAATTATACACCATAGATAAGCAGTACATGACGGCGGTCAATTTGCTGACCGTCGGTGCCGACTACGCTCAGAAGGTGGGCGTGCTGCACACGAGGATCCTATTCCTCTTGTCGCAGGCGATGCTGCTGATGCTCGATAAGAAGCTACAGGAAGTTCACCAAGTTCTCAACAACGCCGGGCCCCTGATCGAAGCGTGGCAGGGCACGCTCCAGCAGAAGGAGGCGTTGAAAATTTTCTTCCTCGTTTTGCAAGTTTGCTACTATTTGTCGGCAGGTCAAGTCAAGTCTGTGAAGCCATTACTGAAACAACTTCAGCAAGGCATCCAGACTATCACACAAATGCCCGGCGACGGAGAGGCCGCAACAGCTGATCAGAGCTTCCAGTGGCTTCCAAAAGAACACATGTGCGTTCTCGTGTATCTCGTTACGGTGTTGCATTCGATGCAAGCTGGCTACATGGACAAGGCTCTCAAGTACACGGACAAAGCCCTCCTGCAAATCGAGAAACTCAAACTCGTCGAAGCCAACCCGATCCTGCACTCATTTCAAATTCTACTTCTGGAGCACCTCGCAATGTGTCGCTTGGTAATGGGCAAGAAATGCCATGCGGTGCAGGAGATCAACCAAGCTGTCCAAATATGTCGGCAGGAGCGCTCTCTCGCCATTTCCCATGCGCCCCAAATGCACTGTTTACTGGGGCTGTACGCCATGTCGATGAACTGCATGGAGGCCGCCGAAGCTCAATTCAACGCCGTGCTGCGAGAGAACGGAACGTCGTCGGATCTCCGGATCATGGCATCTTTGAATCTGGCAATAGTGTATCTGCGGTCGCGTAAAGAGCAGGAGCTCAACGATCTCCTCATTCAGTTGAATCCTGAAAGCATACAAACCAACTCACACAGCCTTCGGGCGGCCGCCTATTACGTTCACGGTCTCAACGCATTCTTCCAAGCCCGGTACAATGACGCCAAACGGCATCTACGAGAGACGTTGAAGATGGCGAATGCCGAAGATCTCAATCGATTGACGTCATGTTCTCTGGTGCTTCTGGGCCACATATTCTACTCGATGGGTAATTCAAAAGAATCTCTTAACATGGTCACTCCAGCTATGCAACTCGCCGGCAAAATACCCGATGTTCACGTGCAGTTGTGGGCGTCTGCTCTGCTCAAGGATCTGTATCGCCTCGTCAACCAGCCCAGTCAGGAGCAGGAACACGTGACGACTCACGCAAGCTTCTCGAATCAACTTCTGCAAGACCACTTCCGAGCTTCTCAATTATCCGAGCACACCTTGATACAATGGATTCACGGTGAACCCCCCGTTATTCAGGTGGCAGTGGCAGCCACCGCCTCCGGAATTCCTTGATCACGGTTAACAGTCCCAATCAACTTTCGATAGAAGGAAGTTTCTTATTGAACTCTGTCAATATTGAATTGAATGGTCAAACCGTTCATGAGGCTAAGCTGGGGAATTGCAAGCGATATATCCATTGAATAGGATTGCAGACAGCGAGCGGTCGATAAAGCAAGCGAGCAAGCAAGCAAGCAACGAAGCCTATCTAAAGTCGTATTTATATTTCGAGCATTTGTCATAGAATCGAGTAAAAATCATGGAATCAAGAATAATTGTATGTTTTGTAAATTCGTGATGCTGTTTATTAGCAGCTGCCCCTGTAAAAAATAAATCTGGGAAAGGCATTTTGTACAATTAAACCGAGTTCCTGTTTTCTCTCTCTATGCACATGTCGCTTCTCGGTCACGGATATTCCCGACATCCAATCATCGCGTAACAGCACTGGAGAAGATAGGATTTCGTTGTACAAGAATATCTGTATCGAGTCGTACCGCATTTGTGACTCCAACAGGTGCCGGCTTCCTTGAATTCTCAGAAAATGGCTCGAAAAGTCGATTCCACAAGTATAGTATGATACGGTAGAATTTCTTGTAGATACCGTTGAAAATATTCTGTATATGCGATTTGTACCCGTGAGGATCTACAACGTTGTCCAGGCGAGCAGCTCGGCATATCAAATAACAAACACAGATAGGATACGCCTTAGGGCGCGTGTCACCGTGGTTGCCCTCTGCGTCACAAAAAAATCGCAAAGAGGAGAACTTGGTAGGAAGGGAGAACGTTGGCCTAGTACACTAATCATGAAACACGTATAAACGATTCAAACCTCGGGAGGAGAAGGGGGGGAGCCATGAAGAAGAAACCGACGGCTCTGAAAATACACTTTGATTCCGGACCGCGAACAAATCGCAGTGATTCCTTTCCTATATCTCGTCAAAGGAATATACCTATACAATTATTCCGAACGACCGTTTCACATTGCGGTTTCGTGGAGAGGTCGATCCACATCACTTATGACGGGGTTCTTTATCTTCGACTTCACAGCGGGTTGGTCTTCGGTACTCTTCTGTGCGTCGTTGCGCTCACTGAGATTATTGTTACGCTCGAATTCGTCTTCAATCACTTCGCTGGGTATCTCCTGATCCGCCGCCTGTGATCGCTGGGGAGCGGGTCGGGCGGGGGAGGTCGAGGGTACCAGTTGAGCCTCTTCGAGTCCACTGAGTTCCTGCTCTGCTTCGTCAGATTCGTTGTTCGCTTCGTTCTCTTGAGCAATTCCGATATTGTCGTCATTTCCTTCTCGGAGCGGAGGTGGAGTTGGCGGGGGCGACGGGAGCTCTTCCGCGGTCATCCTCCGAGGCTTTGGTGGACTAGTCATTGTGGTTGGTGCCGAGTTCCTTCGGAGTCTTCCTGAAGCCGTGTACGCTGACATGGCTTGAGAAGTTGCTGTAAAATCGAGAGACGCTTCTGAGAAAACACTCTCGAGGAACTCGGAATTTATGGGCGCTATCAGGAGGGGGATTAAGAAGGGGCTCGGCGACATCAGGAGGGCGGCTTCTCCGATTCATGGGGAAGTTTCTGGGCACAGAAGCATTCTGCTCATCGAAAACCCGTGCTCGTCGCCGAGACGATGATCGAGTCAGCTTTCCGAGCGTCAAACTGACATAAGTTGAGCCGACGGATCCCTGCCGGGTCCGAACGGGGAAATCACGATTGGAACATAAAGCCGTGATCACGTGGTAACGGCTCCATACTGAAGAAAGCTGCAGCATTACACGTGACCGTCCCCAACAAAATGCGATCACGATAAATCGATTTCGGTCGTTTGATAGAAATGACATACCCAGGAAAAACTGCGGAACGACTCACAGCAGTCGACTGCTTCCCCGTCGGTAAGACCCCTCGACTGAGCTCGGACTGAAGCTTTACAAAGAAACACACAAAGAGAGATAGTCGAAGTTACTCACAAGGCTGCGAGTCTCGAGCTGGGCCCGATCGGTTCCTCCTGGGAGGTGGAACTGGTGGATTCAAACTGGTGGGCTGCGGCGCCTTGAAGGAGCTCCTCATAGTACAAAACTTCCGTCGCAAAAATTCTTTGGCAAAATCGAGCGAGAAATCGTCCTCCCCCCTGAACCACTTGGCTTGGCCCCGGATCCTCTCCTCGAGATACTCTGGTACTAAACTCCGAGCGGGCGAGGGCAGACGGAGAAGATCTGGGAAGGAAAGAAAGACATTTATCGGAGCCGCGGAGCGAACCCGAGCCGGCTTGGGCCGGTATTCTGGGAGTAATCTATTTTTCTTTCCTCGAGTTTGCCCAACAGAGAAACGGGAGGGGCCTCTGTTCTCAGTTTTTCAGTTTCAAAGGCCGTTCGAGGGGAGATATGGGGATCGAATGGAAATTAGGTGAATGAAAGTTGCGGAATCCAAGAGAATTTCATCAGCGTTTTTCTGGTCTTCTTCACTCGTCTCGGTGTCTTCAGAACGTGTTTCTGGTCCTGTCCAAGACCAGATGTTCAGCGATCACCCATGGTCCGAAGACTAAAAACGGGAATGACTTTGGCATTCAACGAAGCGTGAACGAGTCACGAGGGCGGAATAGGCTTCGGAAGGAGTCAGCTACCACTCTTCCTTCGCCCTCTGGAGCCGCACCTGGAGCGTACATCGAGATGCGGCTCGCACAATTGAGGCTAGAAACGGATGGTGACGGGCGGGTGATTGGAAAGATACACAACGACTATAGGAGGATCTTTTTTTTCTAAACACAACCGAGTTCATTTATGCTTGACTTATGCCGAGAACACGGAAAAAATTGCAGTATCCCGCGAGGGCGAGGCCCTGTCCGTGGTTCTTGATGATAATGAGAGAGAATCGCATATGGTGAAGAATTCATAGGCCATTTGGGTGACGGCGATTGGGACGTTCGGGAAAGCCGAAATCTCATCCCTCCCCCCATGAGACGCCTCGAGTAGCGAGCATTCGAGTTCGACTACTGCCAGACTTATAGCATGAGACCAGAAGTCTCCGAGAGAGAATCGAAGAGTTTCTCCACTCAGACTGGATGACGAGCACGAACCGACTGACCGATCAAATCGGTGAGTGCTTTTTCTGTCGAATCCCGGGAACCGACCGACCGTACGACAGACTCGACTTTCAGCAAACCCAGACAGAGGAAGCCACTTACCAACTTTAAGAATGTCTGCGAGGGTTCCATATTGATCGAGGAATTTGAAAGTGTTCCGTTGAACTTCGAAATCTTTTAAAGCTTCAAGTCCTCTCTCGAATGAGCCGAAGAATACCCGCAATTCGTTTTCTAGGTTTTCAACCTGCAATTCCGGAGCATCGATTTTTTAGCATCGTTCGGTCAACTCGACACCTGTTGCAGTCTTCATTGGCAGGGATCCTATTTCAGGCCCAGAATCGAGTAAATTCCTCGGGCGACTCGCTGGAGTTCCAATCAGTCTGACACTAGATACTTATTCAGAAAAGAGACAAATGGAAATCAATTGTATACCTCTTGCATCTGTTCGAAGCTCGCTCGGAAGCCCTCGCTGACGGGCTGTTGAGGGAACAGGGAGGTCAACTCGTATTCGGGGCATAGAGGTAGCGACCGGAGAGGAAAACGAATCTGTGCCCACTGTGCCTCTAGCATAATATGTAGATCAGTTTGTAGATCACTATCTGGGCTGAGAAAAGGATTCCTTGAACTTACCGGAAATCCCTCGTCCGGTGTCCATTTGAAAACGACGAGCTCACTAAATAGAACAGGCAGTCCAAGTCGGAGGTGATCCTCTATTGAGCGTATTGTCTTCCGCGTCGATGCCATATTCACGACATCACACACTGCTCGAAAGAAGACGGAAACTCTCTTCAACATTTTATCGCTCGTCTCCAGTCACAAACAAAGTAGAGCACATATCGTCAAACAAGTTCCGGGGAGCGGACCAATTCAGCCAATCTTCAATAACCAAGTACGAATCGTGCGACCTAACAACGAGTTCGGCGGACTCTGCTTTTTAGGCTATCCAAAAATGTTTACATTCGAGACGTAAGCATTTCGATAAGGCGAAGTGAGAGCGTGGTGTTACGAATCATACAGAACAATGAAATTCGAGCTTTGAACGTCCCAATGTTCGTAGGCGATGGAGAGCGACAGCGTTCCGACGTCGTTCGGTGCTAGTTGTATTCAAACGAAAGAGAGAGACCGTACCGAGTACATCGGCATCACTTCCAGAATGATCTTCCCTGCATTCCGCGTAAGGGCGCTGGTCGCCTGAACAAATTGGTCGAGGAGATCCAAGCGATGTCGGTTTGGCGACGGCGAGCCCTCTTGTAGGACCCTAACCACGATCCTGCGTCAAGTGTGGCTAAACCCGCGATCTTAATGTGAGGCCACAGCTCACGAGCCAGCTGGGTCATCCGTTAAGCAGGAATGAGTTTCTCAACAAACAGCTCAGAACTGCGCTCCTGCCCATTCCACAGCCTCGTGTCTTTTGCGGGACGGGATCTTTGCTCACGACAAGCAGTGGACTTCGTTCCCCAGGCCTTTGGAAACCTAACCACCAAGAAAGTCAGTTCCCAGAGAGCCCTCTGGCAACTCGATGAGTCCCGCTCCGAGCCCCACGGCATCGAGGGCTGGAACGATGAATTCTCCATTGTACAGTATCAAAAACGCGGTCCTCTCTCGGTAGGATATCATGTTCGATTCGAGAATTCCGTGTCGGCTCCGTCCGATAACGAATATCCGGGCATCGAAATGAATGACGTCAGTTGAGGACTAGCTCCAAAGCTGTCTTCGTGGGAATGATCCGACGCTTGAATTATCATTGCTCAGACTACAAGGTAGTCTTGGCGGAGCTATCACCCACGCGACCACGGGGATTCAGTGTCATACACCGGCAATGCTAATTTCCCAGGGGCAGTATATAGTCAATGACGGATCGGAAGCGCTCTTCCGAAAGGGCTCTGCGAAAGGGCTCTCCCGAGCGAGTGCTGAGTTCACCGCTCGTTCCGATGTGAGTGATCTTCAGAATGGAAGGACTCGCCCGGAAATCCCATGTTCGGCCCGTTGGATCGTGAGGCTTGTGATTCAGAACTGGAACCTCGCTGCCGCTGCCGCCGCCGTCAGAAAACTGACCGGATGTTCATTTAGCCGACCAGCGCACCGACTCGCGAATGGCTCGCTAGCCCGTCTATCTATTCACTTCATAAAACCTTCAGCCTTTGGAAAGTTCCAGCTGGAGAAGGCTTGATTGAATGTGAAGTCCGAATATTCTTCTAAGCCACGGAAACCTTAGTCAATGTTTGAGCTTTTGCACAATGTGAGCACCGAGGTGGCCTTCCATGTCCACTACTTTCCAAGGGAAATTCCTTTCCATGTCGAATCGCCGGTGCCGCTTCTAGTTGAGGAAATTACTCAGCATCGGAGCTCTCCATAGGGGGAATATCCGAATTCAGGGCACTTCACAAGCGGAGACAACTCTTCGTTCGTGACTCGTCAGCATCCAAATTTTGCTGGCGCTGCAACTACAAGTCTAATATACCAGCGGACTGGTAACCTAATCCAGCGTCGAATTGCTCTCTACTCCTGCCGTATAGGCAGAGCGTCAGCTTCTGGATCTATTTTCGTCAGTCGGACTAGATATCGTGGACATCAGCTACGGCTCTATTGGACAATTTTTTCCTTTCCGCGACGTCCATCAACTCTCTTTGGTCCAGGCTCGTTGTCAGCTCTGCCACAAAGTATTATTTCAGGTACGGATGGGCTCTGAAAATGCCCTCAACCACTCCGCGATGGGAACTAGTGAGATCGATTAGAATCCATTCCTAAAGGTCCTCGAACGAAACAAGCATCGAGCTCCGCTCAAGGGGGACCGAGCCTTTCTAACTGCTCACAAGGTTCTCTCTGACTTTTCGGAAGCACGGACGTCTTGTATGAGTCTGGATGGAACTTCACAGATGCGAACTCACTTCAGAGTTCCCAGAAGCCCGGGGGAATCACTGTCTTCAACTCATACGCAAGCTCACGGGACCGAGGGACTGTGAAGACTCGGGACTCGCACCGGGGGCTGAGACGTCGAGTATCGGGACATCCGCAGAGACGAGGTATGACTTGCTTCCATGGCAGGAGTACCGCGGGGCATAGCTAAATCATGTAGGATTACTCACCAATTGTTTTGGGAGCGCAAACAACGGTATCCGCTTCGAGGCACGACACAAACAGTGAGCAACGATTTTCTGGAGAGGGATTCGTAGTGATGGTGGTGGTGGAAGCATGCGCTGTGAAGGCGGAGACACACGCACGAAGGAACTTTGGCGGTCGCTTCCAAAAGCTACTTTTGCGCGAAACATCAACTTCTACAGAGCCTACGCTCGGCACCTCGTCGCCAGCGAAAGTGGATGGCCCCCTGCGGCCGACGACGACAACCGCGACGGCTGAGCAGCAGTAACAGCACCACGACTGAGAGGAATCAGATGATTCAGAGACAGACGGCTTCCTTTGACCATCTGGATCGGCGCATGGGGTGTGTTCGCGCCAGAATTCAAACGACAAAGGAGCAAGTTTCATACTAGGGATATTGCAGGATACGGAATCGAGTTCCCTATCAATGTCAGGCCGTGACTTATCCGCGGTCTATGGGCAGCGACAGATTCGTATCGGATTCAGACTCTTCGTATCGGAGTAGCCGGTCGACCGCGACGGCTCCTAAAGAGCGAGTCCCGAGTGATGGGGGAGAAACCACGATCAGCTAAATGAGAACTACGGCTAGAAATTATTTAAGCTCGAAGAGATCACGCTTTCACATCTCACAAATCCCCTTCGAAAAGTGCATGGAATGTTATCATTCCAAAAAGTATATCTCCGGCCGGCCAATTGCGGGGAATGATGCTGGCGCTGGTCCGTTTTGAGAAGAAGGTCCACATTGTGTGCTGGGGTTTGAGGCATTGACTCATTTGCCGAACATCCGATCTTGGGACACATTCGCATTGACGCGTATCCATGCCAAGACTCTATCGACTTTCGGAGGCCTTTCCACTCTCTTCAGGAACTATGATCATGAGTCCGATCGTTCTGAATTATCCCTTGATCAAAATCTGATTGTGGAGTTTGCTCCCGGCTCTTCGAACTTCTCCGTTGCATTTGCTGATACGAACCTGTTTTCCGCCGGCGGAAAAGCCTAACGACTCACTGCCATCTTCGATTGTCATACCATGCACATATTTATACGCAATCAGGAGACGGACTGTTTTTCTGTACGGCAGCGTGTGTCCCGTTTTTTTTTCAATACTCGCTGCCTACAACATAAGGTTCCACTTTGAGTGGATGCGACTGATTTCGGCATTCCTCAGAAGTAACCATCAGAAGTCTTCATTCGAAGACTCGTCGTCGTCATTGGCCAAACGGCTTTCTACCATTTCCTCCACGAAGAATCGCTTGAGAGTTTCCTGGAGATTCAGGAAGCTTCTCCTGAAGCTCTCCCGCATCAACGCCGCACAATCGCCATCTCCCATCCTTCCGCTGACGCTGAAATCCCAAGACGGAGACATAACCTTTTGGAAGTTCAGCTGGTTGCCGAGTTTTTTCTTTTCAAGTTTCCAGAGGGACCTACCTGTGTGCACAACCGAAAGTTTCATGGTATGGCGTCAAGTCTCCGAGTTGAACCGCGAGCTTCAAGGCAAGGCCCGACCTCCCTCTTTGAACGATTTCCAGTATCGTCGTGAGATCTGCCACGATCCTCATCAAGTTTTTCTGATTCACCAATAGCTCCGACGTCGCTTCGTGAAGCGCACCTTTGCTCGAAATAGGGTGAAGAATTAGCCCCTCAATAAATACGGATCACAGACATGATACACACAACCTCGATCCTCCTGACGTTGCCCGACTCGTTCTTCGACAGATTAGTAAATGAGATAAATAATCGCTATCGGTCGTCGTCATTACCGATTTCGAGGTAGAATAGCGCCTCCTTGACCGGTTCAGTATCTCGGGCTGCGTAATTTAGAACACTGTCAAAGTAGGTCTTCTGTATTTTCTCCAGGCGCTTCAGCCATATTTGAACTGGATTCCAATCGACGTCAAACGAATGCTCGAGTTCGTGGATGAGGTTCCTGGCCTCGATGCTCATTATTTTCTCGTCGAAAGACGTTTTTTTCACGATTTCGGATATGGCTTCTCGACAGGCATCCTCGCAATTCTCGATCGTCTGCTGCAGCGACGCGTTGATCGCCGAAACGGTTTTCGTGATCAAATCCGTTCGGATCGGCTCCTCCGTAGACGATTGCGAATCTGCCCAGTTCAAAAGCACCACCAAAATCACCAGGAGCTTCATTCTGGGGAAACTTTAGGGCACGGTCCTTCCCTCGAGAGTTATCTGGCGATGTGTCGAGTTACCAAACTAAAATAATCTGGGAGAGTGTAAGCATGGTTGTGAGCTGAATGCAACTCGCGCGGGCTGGTACTCTCGGTAAGAAAAAAAGGAAAAAGATCTTTGACGTTTGCAGACGGAAGAGCAGCGACAACGCGGAAAAGCGGGTCCTCAAATGGCAGGGGGCCCCGGATAGAGTCAGACATCCTAGGTAGTTGAAGTGAGGACCGGGCAGGATTCGAAGTTCAGTTCGCCAATCCTTGATGCCGGAGCGTAGGACACAAACCTCATTCCGAAACCGTCGTTCTTCCGGAAATCAATCGTGGCGCAGTTTTCTCAGCCATATTACCGCAAACATCTCCAAGGAAGGAGGATCCGTGAAATCATCTCCGATTGGGGATCGAATCAGCGGTCATTCGATTTGCGAGGCATATAATGACATAATTTAGATTGTCAGAGCTCCTCGTCGCTAGCGGGGGGCACGCAGCGGAGTGCTCCAGAACGCTCCATGAACTTGGGATGATGAGTCATCTGTCATATTCAGGAAGGGCTCAGTCTCGCGGTCGAGTTCCGATTTCCCTTCCTTTGATGATTTACCTCTTACAGCTCGAAGTTTCAGGAGAGTACGCGCTAACTACTTCGGTAGCCCTCTTGCCTGCTTCCCGCTGCGGATATTCTCAATACACTGCTCGTCGTCCTTCCCCAGAATTGCCCACTCTCAGCTAGCTGAGTGATGCTGAGGCATCTTTCATGCGTCTGCGCCAGCGATGAATTGCGCATCTTTTCCGAAATCTAGAAGATAGGCGCGTAATATGCAGTTCCGATGATTCGTTCAGAGGCTGAATCCTGCATGTCGGAGGAGCGCACGCGCTCCCATAGAAGAATCGAACGAGCTTGAAAAAAATCGATTACGACCGCCGCAGTCGACTTTATTCATGTACTTATATATGTACAACTCTTTGGTATGTTTTTCTCACAGCCTCTCGAATGCAGCGAGACCAACATTCGACGTTCATGAGCCTCCCGTCGGAGTTGTCGATCCAGGTTCGACCGGAGCTAGAAGTTCACATGAAAGATGATGGTGCAGACGACGAGCGCAGCAGGAAGCATAAGATTGGAAACTGTCAGTCCTCCAACCTTGTTGCCGCCCGATGCAGTTTGCTTTTGCGGGAGGAAAAAAATGAGGTCCTGGGGGAAGGAGAGATACGAAACTTCAAAATAGATTCTCGAAGTCATAGCGAGATGTGATCTTAGATTACCTACACGACCTATTCGTGGCGAAAGAAATGTGAAAATCTGATGGGTAATCGGTATCGGGAGAGCAGCTCTAGAGATCCCATCGCACCTTGCCACAACGTTCTTTCTTGAACGGACAATCCAAGACCTCCAAATTTTCTGTGAGACAGAGTCGGACCTAGAAGAAACGAGCATCGTGCTTTAGTCACCGAATATATCCCTCGGGATCTCGTGCGTGCTGATAACTCCGCCGAACCGACTGAAGGAGAGTCTGAATCACCTCAGTCAAAATTGGATTGCTGTAACCCTCAGCTTTATCGCAGATCAGTTGCACCTGGAACAAAAAATGGTACATGGTTCAAGTACATCGGCTGTCGGGGAAGTTGCTAATACTACAGGTGGCAAAGGTTCTTACGTTTCCTTGGACGTCTCTGGCGAGCGCCTTCCGAATTTTATTGATTTCGTAGGGAGTTTTACTCGACGCCGTGATTCCGTTCTTCCTCAGCGACTCCCTCAGGTCGAAGCGATCATGAAGCGTGAGCGTGGTATTGAAGTAATTGAATATTCCAGCCAAATTCGGCGAACCAAGTCCACATGTCCCTGAAAATATTTCGGAATGGAAACTCAGGCGAACCTTTCGGACTCATGGGCGGGAGCAAATCGATGAAGTTGCGGACTCACCATGTTTCTTCCACTCGTGCGCCCAAAACACGGTGGGGTCGTTGGTTCTGAAGGACGGCCAAGCTTTCTCCAAGCGCGCTGCGAGACAAATCAAGATTTGGGACCATGCCATGAATGCTCATGATCCTAAAATCGAGCCCGAAGACGAGAAGAAAGGAAATATCATAGGCCGAGGAGCCGGTGATTGATCTCACATCTAATCGGTTGTACATCCTTCACGTCAAACTTCCGAGAATCGCAGTTTTGGATCGAATCATCCTTCGCTGACGGCCAAAGACCGTGGACAGTAAAACTCTCGTTTATCCTGTCGGCTATGCATTTCTGTCTTCTCGCATGAAGAAAATGAGGGCAGAGTTTAGACTTAAGAGAGTGGAATCATCGCAATTTCCCTCGTCGTTCCGATCTCTGTGTATGCGGAGAGTACTTCATTCTCTGAACTTGATGAATTTCAGTCATGACAGACTTTCGGATGTCGTGACCTCATGGTCTCTCAAAAATCGTGAGACTCGAGGGGGTTGAAAACTCAAATTCGGGGGTTATCGATCTCGATCATATGGGAGCGCCGCTGAGGAGCGGGTTCGACCCGCTCAATGCCTACTTGAAAGTTGAGCGGCAATATCCCGGCGGATGTTGCTGAGCGAAAACGAGAAAATCGAATCCGTAGACTCCGATCGCGGAGGACAAGAGAGCCAAGACATAGGAGGCTGTCTTCATGAAGCTGCGCATGGTTTCCGAGGCCGAGGGTGAAGAGGGCCCTGTAAGTGATCGGACGAAAGTGATTGGAGAGGCGGAAATGTTCGAGCAGAAGATCGCGCTGAAATCGCATTCGTTGAACTATCCATGGGGGCGATTCCACGCGAGCGCAGAGCCACCGTAACATGACAGTCGCGCGCGCTCGGATGAGGATGCTCAGTGACGGCGCGGCATCGGCTCGCAGATGTCAGAGAATCGTGAATGCTCGGAGCTCCTTTCGCGACGAGATCGGACAATGAGTTGAAACTCTCTCCAATCGACACAGAGCGACCACTGCGCAGACTGCGCTCATGATCGCCCTCGCTGTCAAATGAGAGACTCTCTTTTCCCACGGACACAGACGAGGACTTCATCGGAGATCCCGCGACTTCCTCCCTACAGACCTCGATAATTATTCGCGAGTCTTTCGACGAACATAAATCTAAACTTTTATTTCCCTTGTCCCGATACGATCTGAATACGAGACCGTATCGGGCGATGTAGAAAATATACTGTCAGCTCAAACGTGCCCTTCGACCCCCTCATCAGCATTGCCGAGTAAGTTTAGTTCGTTGACCAGGTCATCCAGCAGCTACGAGTACAGCCCGCGCCGTGAATTTTTATTTCCAGTCTTATACGGAATATTCCTTCACCTCCCGGCACTGCCTTCATGAAAGAAAAACATTTCACTATTGGCAGGGGATGCGTGCACTCGAGGAACGCTGGAAAATGATCGTCAGTACACCAATACTTCCTATCCGTTCGATCTCCGGACGAAAAATTTTCGGCACCGTGAATTTCCAGCTGAAATGCCCCATCGAGGTTGCAGTCTCACTCGTAATTCTTACACTACTCGTGACTCTTACACTACCCGTACTGCTGACGCTATCTTCCAATCCAGCCAGGGAAAAAATATTCGCGGACGCCTTGTCGAGATGTTCCATGAAAGGAGTGGACGAGCTCAGAGTGGTTGCCACTCTGCCGATGGGAGGACCGATTTTTCGCGGAGGAACGAGCTTTCTGTCCCGATTCCCGTCGTCAGCCCTCGATCAGATGCTGCGCATGTTCCCGATATCCTGAATTTCCATCGCTGGACAAAAGCCAGTCGAAATACGCTTGCGGCAAGTTCCCGAGCGAGCGCGGAAAGACGGAACAATCACGAGTAGGCTAGCAGCGGGTAATCCTATCAATTATCATGTTCGATTGAAATAAGTCATTCGGCGCCTCCGCTGTTCTAGGCATTCTCAGCCGCTTACCAGCCGGCACGAGAACACGCTACTGACGATGATCTTTGCCTGAGACCCAAGAAGAGCAGAACTTTCCAGGGAAATGTTGCTCTCCTATCTCCTATCGCGTTCGTTGTTTACAGCTGCTCCAGGCCGAGTTTCGGTTTCGGACTTCGCGGGCACCGGCTAGGTACTGATTCGTCTTCGACGCGTTCTTAGCAATCTCATTCACTGACTGGAGAAGTCGCATCATAGAAGCGAAGGGAGATGTGGATATCAGTCACATGTCACCTCAACGCGCGTTCACTTGGCACTAGGAACTAGGACCGATGCTTGAATAACATACTCGCAGTTGTTTTGTCGTGTTCTCTCTCTCCCTCGAATTCGTCGGCGCGTCGCCATTTTGGATCCTATCATCAGTGCGTGCGGTCCCATAGGATTCACTCATCTGTCTGTCACCAGAGCACCGACAATCTTGAGAACAGCAGAACGGCAGGTGAGCTTTGGGAAACACTGGCTCTGGGGAGGTCGACTCCCTCTGAATCCCTCGTCTTGCAAGCCCGACCCATGGAGATAGCATTAGAGAACCCCGTCGGTTGTCGGCTCTGGCTCCGAAGAAGTAACTTCCGTCCCCTGCAGTGTCAGGAACACAAGTGTTCCGCTGTTTGCTTGATCGACCCGTTTCCTGACGGCTCAAAAGATTCCTCCACCAAGCCGTCCGACGAGCCGAATTGTGTCTCGGAAACCTTATGCTGTCGCTGACAAACACTCTCGCCTGACGGTATCCACACTCAGTGAATGGAATCAAAATACTCCGCTCGCGTCTCGAACACGTACACCATTCCTAGTCATATGGGAGGCGGTTCCTCACTCTGGATATTGGACGATCCGCTCCGGAAAAAATCCCAGGCCCGTCTCATTGCTCGAGCCTCAATTTTCGATCTAGACGAGTTTTTCCCCTCAGAAAGTTTGCTGTGCAATGAGCCCAAGTAATCAGCTGGGATAACGACATATCCAATCCCTTCTGTCCGTCCCCATGCTCGGAAAGCTCGAGCCAGATTTCCTCCACGGGATTTGACCGTAAGCCGACGGGACTTAAGAGCTCCGTGCCCCAAGTGACCTTTCCGGACAGTTTGCGCCATATACGTAGGTGCTCGGGCTGAGTGAGTGCGACGCAATTTGATGAGGAGCTGAGTCCGCTCATTTCACTTAAGCCTCTCCCGTCCGACTCCCTCAGCTGATTCGTGAAGAGTCGTTTGTGCGTGCATCTTGCGCCTCGCGGAGATCGGAGTGGTAGAACGGCGCCTCTGAAATTATGTCAATTCCTACACGTACCCTAGTGTCGTTGTCGCATCCGATTCCGGCTCCAGTCGCGCCGAACTGAATTACTGCGGGAGATCTCGATCGATGGCGCAGCGGGCGCCAAAGTGCTCGAGCTGTTGCTCTTCGGAGTGAGGAGACGACCCAGGCTGTGGAGATTTAGAAAATAATTGCGTCCGAACGAAATTCGGCCCGACAGCAATTTCTTTGCGCTATCAGGAAACTGATCCGTATTTACCGGGATCCACACCGGGTTCAGAAGCGCCGAAAGAAGGGCTGGACATCAGATTCTGACAAAATTGTCTTGACGGTTCTCCATCAGATTAAGTGCCGTCGAGCGTTGCGGTTTCGAGACGCCGAGACCGATGGGGTGCTCCGCCAAATCACAGACGCCCCGGGAGCCGAAACTCCGCGAAACTCAATCGTCCTCTCTGTTGCAGGTCCTGGTCGCATTGTCATCAGGCAGCGGAAAAGATCATGGCGGACAACGAGCAGCGGGCGATCAATCTATTGGCTGAGGCCGAATCAAAACTCAAGCCCGCGGGGTTCATATCCGGAATTTTCGGGTAAGCCTCGCTCAGATTGCGAAAGTCCGTGTATTCTGTTTATCCAGCCGATGGAGGATAAACATCGGCGGGAAACTCTATTCGATGCTTGAACGACGAGGTGGATCTCCAGACATCCAGACTTGAATGGAAATCCTCAACTCTTCATTGCAGAGGCGGTAACAGATCGGAGGAGGCATGCGAACTCTTCACAAAAGCCGCGAATTCCTTCAAAATGGCGAAGAAATGGAGTAGCGCCGGAAATGCCTTCTTGAAGGCTGGTAACATCCAAATCAAGGCGGGGAACCGCCATGAAGCAGGGACGAACTTCGTCGATGCGGGCAATTGCTTCAAGAAGAGTGAGCCCCTGACAGCGGTCGAATGCTACCAGAGAGCAATCGAAATCTATACGGACATGGGCCGATTCAACATCGCAGCGAAACATCACGTCTCCATAGCCGAACTTTTCGAGAACGAGCTCAATGACATCGACAAAGCAATCGTCCATTACGAGCAGGCGGCCGAGTACTACAAAGGCGAGGAAAGTCATTCCTCGGCCAACAAACTCCTTCTGCAGGTGGCGAAATACTCGGCGCAGTTGGAGAAATACGATAAAGCAATCGAGATCTACGAGCAGGTGGCAACCACTAACCTGGATTCGTCTCTGCTGAAATATTCCGCCAAGGAACAGTTCTTCCGCGCGGCCTTGTGTCACCTTTGTGTGGATACCCTCAATGCAACTCACGCACTTAACAAATACGATGAGATGTATCCAAGTTTCGCAGATTCACGCGAATATAAACTCATCAAGGTCAGTGGCCCTAAGCGTGTATATTGGTGAAGCATTTCATTCTACCGCTTGATATGGATTGCGAATGGAAGCTCGGTGAGAGAGAATGGCAACGCTGACCGGTTCCCCTTCGTTGCAGACCCTCATCGCGAAATTGGAGGACCAAGATCTCGATGGATTCACTCAGGCCGTCGCCGACTACGATAGTATTTCTCGGTTAGATCAGTGGTATACGACGATGTTGCTCCGCGTCAAGAAGACACTCCAGGGAGAATCAGATTTATGTTAAAGGAGTCGTTCTCAAGGAAGTCTGATGTGATCATCGTTGACGCAGTGTCGGGAGATTTTTGTCGAGCGGCTCGGCCGCTCACGAGTCGGAGCGTCGGCAGTTTGTTTAGCCAGCCTGTTATCACACCTCTGTGCGTCTCTTTTTGCTCCCTCATTTGAGCATGCCCAGTTTAATTATATATATCTATAAACGAGAACAGATGCCTAAGTTCACTTGATAAGAGTGGGATTTTGTTTATGTTCATCATTGTTTTACACGCTGTTTGTTGCATCAATAAAACAGCCAGCAAGTCCAGATGGATTCCGGCGTGCAGATGATTTCCTTGGAGAAAACCGCTACCTCGAGCGTATAGGCGCCTTTCCTTCGACGTCCGGCTATTCCGAATGAATGCTGTTGGCCCGATGACGATCTGAGTTAGTTTTCTTGTGAGGCAGAGTTTCCCGGCCTTGACGCCTATGCCGCTCTCGATGTCTGTGGAGCACAGCACGGGATTGTCGGATGCCCGATCCTCCGCCGGAATCCACTCGCTATCTGAAAACAGCTTCCACGCTTCAGGAGTGAGGAGAGCATAGCTACCTCGCAATATTCCGCGGACGAATTATCTGATATGATTTCCGGTTGTAGAATCGAGAGGTATCTCCGGGAATACCTCCCGGTGCACAGCTCTGGCCTGAAGCTGACGTGGCTGAGGGGAGCCATCTCTTTCCCGGCTTGAGGCAGTCCTTGGACTCTGCCACTCCGATAAACTCAGATTTTGTTTTCTCCATCCGAGGAGAAATACGGTGGGAATCCTCTGGTATAGGACTACGATTATTCGAGATGAAAAGAATGTCAGGCTCGACACAGGGGTAAAATCATTGAGTGACGAATTATGGACGAGAAGTTTGCAACAGATGATTTTATTGTTCTCCTCTCACATCTTTCCCTTCTGCTAATCAACTCTGTGAATTTGAATATTAACAAGGCTTTGAGAATCTTTCGAACCGTTTACTGCTCATTCTCTGTAGGCAATTTGATCGGATTCATTCATCGGAGAATATCACGACTGGGCGATTCGCGGGGAAGATTCACCCGTCGCATTCCTTGAAAGTCTTTTTTCGTATGGTCATTCCTGAATCTGTAGAACTTCGGATCATTTCACAATCGATTGCATCGAGTGAGAGTGCCTGCTTTGGTGAAGCATGTTCTCCGGATGTGCATCACGTACCTCGGCAATCGCCAAGCGCTGTCGCCGGTCTATACGCAATTTCGAGAAGGCTGCTCGAGGCGCATCTTGCGGGATTCCGAGCCCGTTTTTCAATTAGGCCTTACTGCTAGCGAGGTAACGGAATTGAATAGAGTAACAGATAGATGTAAAGTTCCGGCAAAATCGACCGGCTTCCATAAACACATGTGTGTTCGTTTTTATTGCCCCAACCCATTTGCACGGTGAACACTTGTCATGAGTATCTTCCGTCAATTTCGTAGTCGAACTCGATTCGAATCTGCGTCGACGGCATTGAGCATGCTGTCGAGATCGTACCCGGCCTCGTTCACAGAAAAATTCCATAATAAGGATCCCACGTGGAGAGAAAATCGGATCTAAGCTTGCCTCCGGAGTCCTGTTTTTTCCTGGGGACGACGTCCAATAGTCCTGCTTATCCATGAGCTGAGGGAAAACAATCTCTCGTCGACTCAAGCAATGCAGGCTCTGGTTTTTGATAAGTATCGGGAACAGTTTTTTCCTAATCAAAACTTCGGAGCTTTCTGGTCACTTCCGAATTTTCTGCAATTCACATGTGCGCACATGTACACGAACAACTTTTTCGATGCTCTCGAAGGATCGCGACTCTAACGAAGAACTTCGTGTGCAAGCAACAACCAGGGCCTTTCCCAGACCAAGATGATTTCCCCCTCTAAACTATAAACCGAATAAAATACTCGACATTCCTCGCGAACGTCTAGATCACTCTGTCTCGGCCTCGATAAATTGATCCTCCTCCTCTTCTGAAAAACAGATGAGCTAGATTTCAGAGTTATTCGACAGTTAATCGATTTGACTTGACGCTCTCTATTCATGGACGGGAATCTTTGCTCTTGGATCGTTGCATGGTTTCCAGAACGGAAATGATTCTTCGAATCGAGCGTCGATTCTGACGATTTCGGAACGTGTAGTGAAGGTAACGAAGGCACAGAGCGACACAACTCATGCGAGTGCGAGAATCACGACACGGAACGACATCGCATTTTGGACATTCGAGACACTTAATCTTTACCCTGAGAGAGCAGAAGGTCCGTGATACGATAAAGCTCGGGAAAATATTCTTCCTAGTCGAATAGAAGCATTGGAGAGGGGGTTAGCATCGGAAATGGTGCGTCAGTTTCACGCAATCTGACTATGAATGATGGGCTTGGGACTCACCTCTCAAAGTCGGCGGGGGGATGAACTCGCTCTCACATAGGTTGGAAGTATCGAGCTCGAGGCGTCCGCATGGGCTTTTGGCATATCTGATCCCGGACGCACCGGTGATCAGTTTCAAACGAATGGCTTGCCCTGAGGGCCTTTCGGTAACATGACGGATGGCTTCGTCGACGAACGAGTTCGTTACGGCCGTACAGCCGCTCACGTCGATCAGGGTCACGGGACAGAGTTGCGTGATCGCTGAGAGTCCTGCGTCGCCGATTCCAGGACAGCCTCGGACGACTAGACGTTGGAGCGCACCCTGGGCGCTTAAAGCTCTCAGGCCGTTGTCGTTAATCCTGGCTATATAAGACGCGTTCAGCTGCTCGAGGCTCGGACATTGGCTGATAGCGCTGAAGGAAAGATTGGTGATTCGATGACAGCGAGAGATATCGATTCGACGGAGTTTGGTGCATCCCCGGGCGAGAGCGCAGAGAACGTCGTCGTTCACCTCAGCATTGGCACTCAGATGAACTTCCTCGAGCTGCAGCAATTTGTTCAGAGAGCAGAGACCTATCGAAGTTATCGATTTGAGGTTCCCGCCGAGCTGGATCGATTTGATCGCTCGCAAGTTCGAGCAGATGTAGTTGAGGTCCTTGTCCGTCAACTGCGACACCGAGTTGAGGCTCAAACTTTGGAGAAACGAGCACTTGGTAGCAAGCTTCACGAAACCTGAATGAGTCATACCGACGCAACCATCTAACACGACCGAACGTAATCGCTGACCGCTCATATGAAAACACTGCCCACTGAGTTTCGGAACTCCCGACAAGTTAATGTGCTCCAAATGCTTGCAGAGGTGGAACAGCCACCATAGGCCCTTTTCCCCGATTTCGTTGCAGCCGTCCAACTCGACGTGTCGCAGCTTGGGACACTTCTGCGCGATTTGCTGCACGGAAACGTTGGTAACAGGAAGACCCGACAGTTTCACGACTTCGAGATTCGGGCATAGTTGGGAGATGACCTCAGCTGTTTCGGCGCCCGGTAAGCGGTCCGATACGGCGGATACGTCGATCCGTTTCAGAGATCCTTTACACCGACTTAGCAGCGAGCGGAACATTTCAACGGTAAGACCTGTGTGTTCAGAAAAGAGAAGAATTTCACTTAATGGAGAATCCGACGTGCGATTCATGAAAGTCATCGAATACCACAATCAATCGTCTTGCCAGCTGATTGAATCATAGGAAAGGCAGAGAGCTGACGGAGAGGAGAAAAGAATAGGGGCTGAGGCCAGCACTCACGTTGTTTTTCGCCGAAACCAGCGAAATCGATCTCCTCCTCTGACTGCCAAACTTTCTGAGCCATCCGCTGCCAACGTTTGCAAACGCGTTCCATGCAGACCCGGGTCTTCCAGTCGAGCTTCGAAAGGATAGCACAAATGACCTCATCCGGGAGATCATTGAAGTTTTCAACACTCATCACGGGCACGCACACAGATTCATCCAGTGAGTCGTCAACGCCATCAATCTCATCCTGAAACCACCGAGAAGACGTTCAGGAGAGCATCCACGATCATTGTGTCCAATACCTGGAGCAGAGCCCTGAGAGCGACGGTTTCAAGCAATAATCGTGAATGAAATATATCTTACCGTTAGCCTGCGCTCTCGAGCTGCAAGCTGGCGGAGCTTGAGGGTTCGTTTTTCGGTAGCTGGACGAAGTCGCAGGGTCTTCCCGTCGCAAACAAGCTCCTCAGATTCAGCTGCCAGTGCCCTGTCAGCTTCCTCTTTCTTGGAAAATGTCACAAAACCGAAACCCTTGGACCAACGTCGTTCGGCGTCCACACATAATGTGGCATCCGTGACGCGACCGAAGCGCGAGAAAAAATCTCGCAATGCGGCCTTGCTCACCTGTGGACGAGACATGAATTCCCTCGTTCGAAGTTCGGTGGAACACAGGAGCTAGACCTTCTTTTGGACATCATGATTCAATCGGAATCGAATCTCAGACGCTCCGGCCGCGAGAAATCGAATTGAAAAAAATTGAAAAAGGCGTAGCCGCTCACCTTGGGTGGAATATTGCCAACGAAAATCTTCCGTTTCAGAACGAAATCGTCGTTTTCTTTAACGGAATCCGTTTCGTCCGGACTCTCATCTTCTCCCTCAGTCCAGCTTTCTTCGTGGAGCCCTACCTCGGAACGACGACGTGGGTCAAAGAGGCGACACTTCCTAGGTGAGGGCGTCTTACAAAGACGCTCGCGTAGGGCCTGCCGAACGGAACGACACGATGAGTAGACCGTAATCGACGGAGTCTCACGAGGGGGATTTCTGGCTCAAGGAATAGCACTGAATGAGGGAACTGTTTCTCGGAAGAGTCTCACCTGCTCAGAAAACACCCAGTTTTCGCGGATTGGAGTCGAAACAGGAGTTGCCGGAAGCGAAGAACGGTAGACGGCTCCTGGCGGGAGACCGTCACCGAGAATGACAGCGTTGAGGCCCATGAAGGCATCGTTGTGAAGTTTTTGCAGATACTTCAATCGGTAAGCGTACGAGTACATTTCTAGAGGCTGTGGGAAGAACTCTGCTCGATTAGGAATTATAGGGGGAAGCTCCGTGCTTCCGTGAGACGGTCTCACTCGACGCGAACGGATTTCCATTCCTATGCAACGGAATGGACGCCGTGGAGCGGCTCGCGAGGAGCTCACCTTCTGCTGGAGAACTACGGGATCAGAAGAGGGACTTTGTTCTGTTTCGTAGCTCGAATTGACCGTTGAAGCCGACCAGCCGCCCACGGAGTCAAGGCGAGATTCAGATCGGGCACGCTCTCGCAAGGCGGCCTTCTGTATAGGAAAACGGGAAGAATCACAATTAATTAGTCTCTCGAGTTTCAGTCCGGAGTTTTGCAACTTCCACCAATGCCCGAAAACGTTTTTAGGAAACATATCCCTGCGGTCGAGAACCCACTATCATCGGTATATCCGGGCGAACATCCCAAATTCGCTCCGTATCAATAACCAACGTGACTCGGGGACATGATCGCCTTGTTTGAAAAGAAAACTCCTCCGTGGTTTCACGGATGATCCTTGTTTCGCCGTAAATATGTCGTAGTACAACGACGACGCTGGGCGCTCTACTTACGCGCCGCTTCACGAGTCGACATGCCATGCTGTGTCACCCGCCCACCGAGCCCTCGAGAACAATTCGAGTTGGGAGGCTCAGTTAGTTCGCCAACAAATGATCAACTAATGATGGTGATCGATCGATGCTCCTCACTACGATGTTCCCATCATGTCCGAATAAGGTTCCTGAACACGTTTGCACTCATTCTCGGCCACGAAATGTCGGTCACAGAAGTCGAGAGCGTCGGACTCGTTTCTGCTCACATGATTCATGCGCATGCGCTCGCAAAAGAGAAAGCGAAATATCTCTTGATAGAATATGATGTGCTCGCGTGTCCAGAGGCATCAGGCTCCCGGCCTTCGCGGCAGCTACAACGGATCTCCGATGAGCGCAAGAGCGACTTCCAGGAGTATCGTCGACGAGAAAGAAGACTTCTCTGAATCGCTCACTGGCGCGGACCAACTCGACCGGCTATTGATTTCTGTGTTGGTGTCCAGTCGCGCGAATCGGGTAACCTCGTCCATCACGTGAGAATATTGGGGATCGAGCTCCTTGTGTGTCCGAGACGGCGGAAGTCCCTCAGAACAGTTCAAAACCTCTGCCCGCCGGGAACAAAATGCGTTTGAGGAAATCGGGAGCAATGACCGTTCCCCCCAAGTTTACTCCGAGCTCAGGACGAACCGCCAAAGTAGCCACTTCTGACTGATGCTGAGTCTGTTCGGCCTACGGGATGATTGCTCGTTCTGAAGTACTCATCGGAGCGATGAGATCGTCAGGTGAGTATCCGAGTATAAAGCGATTCACTTAAGGAAAAGCCGCTCCCAAACGGCGATCTGTCCTGGAGCGATGCCGATTCGGTTGTACACGAATCACTCGAATCAGGTCATGAAGTTTGTCGACGCGCTCAATCCGCGAAGAAAAAATTGGCTCTCCATAGAGTCATATCCGGAGGAAGGAACCCTTTCGAAGATGTTCGCTGTTGTTTCAAGCTTTGGTGTGGCAATTAAATGTGCTACTTATGCGGGACATCGCGAGCAGCTACACGCGACCGGACAACGCGCAACAATGAATCCGAGTCGAGTATTGAGCCTGCGATTCGACGCTGAACTCAGTCAGTACCATGTTGGGGATCCGCAGACCACCTGGAAACGCCTGCGTTTCTTCCGACACGAATCAAGGGTCAAGATGAGGGAGAAGCCAAGCCGCTACCTAACGTGAGCGAAAATTCTGCACCAACCTCGCTTTGACTGCGCTGGAGAGGTTTACGAGCCATGACAGAAGAATTCAACATGAAATCGACACAGAATTCGGGAGCACCGTTCCTCGTGAAATTCGAATCAGCGAGAGCTGCATAGTCGTATGACTCTCGAGCGTATTGCGCGCTGGCCGCCTCGAAGAGACGCACTGGCGACGCGTAGATCGCACTTCGTGTCGAGAACGGGTACTCGATTTTGTGTATTTCGTAAGCAGCCAACTACACTGACTCAATCTCCTCCCCGACGACAACTCAGCCTTCCCCGGTTCCGAGCAGAGCAACAAGCTCTCATACAATCTTCATCACCTCGAATCATACGATGACTACGACCAGTGAACTAGAGAGAGTATTTCATAGTTGAAGTCACGTGATACTCTAGGGCTTCGATAGTATCAGCCTGACTGAGAGAACAGAGGCGGTACGGACCGTCGACGCTGGGTCTCTGACAGCTCTGAGATCTGTTCCGGATTCGCGCACAATCGCAAGCGGCCAGCTGATTCCAACGAGCTCATCGTCCAAGTCTCAATGAGAACAGCTGATCGACGCCTGTCCAGATGTCCGTCCCTATGCTATGCTGCTAACTAGTTCACTGATGCGTGAAACTTGACGGATGTCGGATGCGAATCCAAGGCTCTCGGAATCGGGAATTCGAGTATTCCGCCGGCTGGATCCGAGGGGGAGTCGGACGCGCGCCTCGACCACCTCCCCAGACCAAGCCAAGAAGTAACGAAAATTTTTAGCTCACGACGGCGTCGATGGGTCGATCACAGTTTTTGGAAGGCGAGTGAGGTTGGAGACTATTACATCATAGCCCGGTCATCGGCCTCTGCGAGCGAGTTCATCTGGTTGCAGAGAGTGACCCATTTTCGGTGTTTGCACTTGGCGCTTAATTTAGAGCAGTCTCGCAGGGAGACTCCTGGAAGTGATGCACTTGTCGTCGGAGCAAAAAGTATCTCGGGAGGAGACAATGGACTCACATGACTCCCAGAGGTTCGGTATATCTCAAATCCACGGGCGGCTCCTAGGTTTTTTGAGTAGTTCCAGGAATCAATCGCTCCATTCGAATCCGGTGGATCGAGCGTCATCGATGGAGCAAACGAAGACGAAGTCCGTCAAATCACGATATCGTCGCAAGCTAAATTCGCTGTCACGTCGCGCAAGCTAAATTCGCTGTCACGTCGCGCAAACTTAATTCGCTGTCTTTGCACCTCGATATAACACCAGCATTTTCCCAATAAAAATCTCGGGACACCAACAAGTTCAGGTTTGCGATGGAGAACCAATGCTATTGCTGCTCACATAAAACGAACGTGAGCTCTCTCTTTCCCCCACCATAGTGATGACCGTCAATTCGTGACATTCTACAACTCGGGCGCTCCTACAATTTCAGAGCACTGAATTGCATTCTTCACAACTAAATAGTCTCCGCAAGTCAATGCCTCTAGCCCCAGGAAACGCAACCCTTCCCCCGACGCGACGGAAAAAGCACGGGGGGTACCAAGAGGGCAACGTCCCGCAGGTCTTGTCGCCTGCTTTCGCTTATCGGGTTGCGATCGTCGTCGATCTGAGGGGCTCTACTGGCACGATCAAAGGGGGAGTCTGTGGCGGTCAGTCCCGAGCGTCTGACTCGGAGCGCACTATCACTCCGCTAACTTTCACAGACTTACGAAAAGTTCGACAGTCAGAACGGTTTTCGGGCTACAAGCTCAACTGATCAATCCGGAACGGAGCTACATCGTAGCTGAGCGCACTGCAAAATGATACAAACAAAAACATTAGGCTCGTGTCACACAACGGTCGAACGTCAGCTGAGGGGAACTTCATCGACGCCTCAATATCGATCCAAAGCAGATGAATATATGGGCGGTTGTGTTTAATGAGCGGCTCACTTCTTCACTCGAGGTCTGCGCTCCCGTTGTCGAGTTACACCCTCCATTGGCAGCTACCGAGCCACCACATGAAGGCCGCCATGTTGCTGAAGGCTCACAAGGTCACCACAATATTTCGGCGGAATCTCGAGTGATGAACGGATCCTCTAAGTACTTCTAAGCGATGGAAAATGGATTTCTCCCTATCCAGATTTGCTCAATTGGTGGGTGAACACCCGTCAGGCCACAAGATGCACTCCACACACTACGGTGGCGAGGGAAATCATTCACGGGAAAGAAGTTGTGGTATATAACTCCCGCTAAATCAGCGGATGACTGCACAGCCTCCGATAGCGCGAGAGAGATGAGTCCAGTAGTGCAGTAGAATAACAGCGATTCCCGACTCCCGACTCGCGCACGTCGGGAGTACCATCGACTGTTTCTCTGCGGCAAATAATCAGAATGAAAATTATAGGCTATGAGGGGGACGATTCCTCGGTTAACGAGATTCGCAAGCTCAGGCTCGAGAAGATCTACTAGCCCTAGAACCTGAGCGGCGGATCATCGACGGCGCAGAGGAAGTTCCGTGTGAAAATATTAGGCGAAGGAACTCTGATGTGAGAGTCTCCGGAAACGCCGCGAATCGCTCTCCAGTCGCTGATATTCACCGGAAGGCGGGACTTCAACGGAGCCGTGTCGAGAGAGATTTCCGGACTAAACTTTCCCAGATGTTCGAAAGGTTCCAGATCACAGATTTATCATGTTATCATCCTTTCGTGGAGCTCGACATGGATAATTCTTCACTGAATGGATCTTCATTACGAGCCTCGTCGCGTGGAACAGACCAATGGGAGAAATCCTTGGGGCAGATCATTCATACGGAGGTCCCTCTAGGTCTCAGCGAGTGTAAGGATTGGAGTACCCATTGTGTCCGCAGGGGGATTCCCGTCTTTCAGAGCCGATTGAGGTACTCCGGTGCGCGGTACTTCGGGCAAAGCTACGAGCGGTGTCGACGGGCGCGAAGGAAAGAGTTTTCAGCCATCCTGGGAGTTACGGTTCCGAAGGAACGTCGAATGACCCCGTTCAGAGAGATTCCCGGGGGTCATAGCTAGCTGGACTTCGCCTGAACCCACTTGGAGAACGGGCAAGCCGAGCTAAGCGGAACCTTACCGATCCACGGACCCTCATCTAGGCGCTCGGAAATCCGAGCGCTGATTCCGGAGGAGTTGGGGAAGACTTTGAGTCGTTGCGAGCTTGGCTCAGAGGCTGATCGCTCCGGTCGAGTCGCTCTGGACCTCGATTGTGCACTCGATGTGGTGTCGCGAGGTTCCTAAGATACTCAGCCCGAATGGGCCCGCTACCCGCCGCGCTGTGCCCTCGTTCTCTCAAATGACTCACGGGCGGGGAAGGCTCCGTTCCTCAAGAGATTTCAATTATGAGTTCCCATATCATCGACCCGTCGAATCGCCCTGCAAGAATCGTCTACATCGACCACGCTTCATATATTCATGTAGCTATATGCATAGATACAGACGTACTGCACTCTACGCGTAGACTCAACGATTGATGGTGATCGGATGTCCATGGACCCGTCACCTTTAGACAAGATGCCACGAATTGAGTGCTTTGGAACTGTTATGATTCGTCGCCGAGCTTCACACGAAACGTACATCTTCGAATGCGAAAATGAGAGAGATCTCCAGAGGCCACAACATCAGTGATCGATAAAAGAATTCGGATACTTACACACGTAGGTGATTTTGCCGAACCCAGAGCAAGTTATTATCGACGAATACAAGAACCAAAAAATCGTCGATGGGGAATAATTCTGGTCGGGGCCGTCGTCCCCGATTCTGTCGATTGCGACGCTCTGTTTCGCCAGGGAATCTCGGAAGTACGTATCGGGGGATGACAGATTTGCCGTGGAATGGCACGCACTCATGCCGCCTTTCGTGACGATCTACCACACCCAAAAGCCGAATGCACCTCCCATTTTCAGGGTGAAGCAGCGAAAGTATCGCCATTTACTCTCCTCTATCATTGCCCTGGACTTTCCCCACCCTGTGCCGAGATCACTCTGAGGCCGATATGACTGGCTGAGCAGACAGCTGCTGTATCAAGTTCCGCAGTTCGAGGACCGCGGATCAGCTGGGAACTCATCGCGCGCGGCCCGGGGGCGAGCGAGCATCTCGATGTTGCTATAGATATTTCTGGGTTCCCCGCTCGCATCGTTGAGGCGTCTTGCAATTGAATGGAACAAACTCCGAAGCGGACTCCGAAACTCAGCTCAAGCCCTCGGTCTCCCCCGCGGCTTTCCCACCCCACCTGGGGTCGGTAGGCGCATGCGCGCAAAGTGAAGCCGAAGCTTGGCTTCTGAACACCGAGAGCATACATTGCAGAGCTGCAGAGCTTTGCTCACGGAATCCCATTTCAGCGATCAGGTTAGTTGGTTTATTCATTCAACAGTCGAGCGGAGCGAGCAATTCCAGCGCTCCTCACTAGGAACGTTCTCCGTGGCGTACGCAAAATCGATAATCCGCACGATATCCCATGAATGGATTCTCATGATTGCGACGGCGAGCCGAGCAATGCACCGCTCGGCTCATCTGAGCGGAGATGATCTGCCCTCACATTCTCCAACGGAATCAAGTCCACGGGAAAGCGTGAATACCGCTCCTTTGCGTCCAGCTCGGTTCCGCAGCCGCGGGTGCGCAGTGACGCTACGGAAAACAGCCGGTATGAGGGATTCAGGCCAGCGTCGTCGCACACAAACTCGATGTCACACCGGCCGTGCAAGCTCAGTGATTAGGCGTGCCTCTCGGGCACTGCTCCATGAGTCGGCATAGTTAGCAGGCTCGGAAAGCTTGTCCGTTTGCGCCGAATGAGCTCGCCCGCGAGCTTGGGATCGGCTGAGCATCGGTGGCTCCGCAGCGATGGCAACCGGAGCACCAAGCAGCAGCTCGATGCGGAGGAGCTCTTGGTACGCGCTCGTGCACTTAAACGAAGAGTTTCCCACTTCGACCTAACCTTTCCGTGAACCTTGTCGCTGTCTCGGCAGCCTTGTTTTACGGGAAAGCCACCCGGGATATCCCATGCTTGTTATCGGGCGATCAGTGAACTCAAGTCAGGCAAGAGAGCGGACAGATCTGGATGACGGGGAGAGATACCTCTCGCTCAAAGCACTCGCGATGGGGCAACTCCATATGATGAGGAGGCCTGTGCAGATATTCAGTTGCAAGGTTGCAAATGTTGAGGGTCCGCTTATTCGATTACGTTTCAATTGTGCCCTATCTCCGAGAGACCTGGGCAATCACGTTCCATGGGGGGAAAAAGGTCGAAAGAGGAATCTCCGATCAGATTCATCATCATGTCTGCCTGCAGTTTCAAATGAGTTTTTCTCCTCCGCCCCAGCATTGAGAGAAAGTTGTCTTTCCAGGTCAATTTCGGAGGGATCTTGTCGGAGCCGACACTAAAATGGCACTTGACGATACCGATGACGAGGTAGTCACCGATCCCGTGACTTCTCCGCCGAAAGAAACTCCCGCAGCGAGAATCGACAACGCCAAGTCCGACGACGTCGATAAGGACAAGATCGAATCGCCTCCGAGATCACCGGATCGGGAGAAGACCGACCTGGAGAAGCACGTGTCTCTGGACATGACGAACGGGGACGACATCAGGCTGGACGATGTGAGCGACGATAGGTATCTGGACAAGCTCGACGGCGACTTCACCGAGGAGCAACTACACAATCAGGAAAATCGTCGACTCGTTGCCTTCTCTTGGATTCTGCTCGTTCAATTCGGCCAATGGTTGATCATCGGTCTGGGCGGTCTCTTGAGCGCGATCGTGAATGGTGTCATCAATTACCACGACAGCGTTTACATCTCGTTGACCCTGATCTTCGCCTTGGTTTTCATCGGCCACCTGTGCTACTTCTCCTTGATGCAGAACTTGGAGAGCTACCAGGGCAACCTCAGCGTCGAGAGCCTCTCTCGCGAACGCTACCTGAACGTCTGCAAGCTCATCTCCCTCACTTTCACCATGTGCGGCTTTACGTACGCGGTCACGGGAACCTTCACTCAGATAAGCTTCAACGTCGTCGCGATGAGTGTTCTGTTGTCTCTGATGTCGATATTCATTCTGTCGAGAGTCTTCCGCATCTTCCCGCAGGTGCGAATCCTGCTCAACGTGTCGCTCCTGGCGGCAGTTTTCGCGCTCAACATCTGGGGTTTCTCTCTGTGCGACCAATTCGGTAGCGCATGGCGCAGCGCTAGTCCGCTCACCCTAGTCGCGGCGGCCTTCTTCGGCTTCCTCATCTCGGCCGGAATCCTCATCCAGAGCAGATCCTTCGCTATCGATCGCGTTCAGCAGAAAATCGCCATGCGGGACTGCGGGTGCGCAGCGACGCTCAACATCTACACTGTGTTCATCAACAAAGTCTGGGTCAAGCTCGTCGGAGAGGAGCTCTACAACCACAAATAATCCTCCCATCGATTGATTGATTGATACATTGATTCCCTTGGTGGATGCACACGCATCCACGGTCAGGAACCCCACGATTCGTGGTGCTTGCTCATGACCGAAGGTCAATATAGAGATTCCCCATTTCTAGCTCGCGAAAAAAATACTGAATTCATTTTTTTTCCTACTCGAGGTTCGTCCCTGTCGCGGGTATCCGTATTTGTAACTCTGTATGCCGTGGTACGCGACAACGACTCGATGGAAAATACGATTCTTGTAAAAATGAGTATCCGGACATTTTTCTTAGACATAGCTTTCGTTCCACGATTCTAACGAGATCACACAATTAAAATGCCTGGCCAGCAGGTCTATCATCAAGCGGAGTATTTCAGCCGATTTCCTTCGAATCCGAGTTTATATGATGGTAGAGTGAGAATTAATAGACGGGAAAGGAGCGTGATACCATATTCGGGAGAGGTAAGCGGATCCGCTCCGAGCCCGGAAACCCTGCTCTGTAGTCCGCCGTAGGAAACCGACATGCTCACTATTCACCAATGTATCGAGGGAGGTTCAGGTGCTTCGATCAGGAGGAAAACTCCGACCCATCTGTGCACATGAGTCCAAGCAGCACTGACCGCTTTTTCTTTCCGCGTCCGAATGATCGCCGTCCTCCAGGCGGTAAGCAACGGAGGACGGCAGTGTGCAATTCCTTTCAAAACTCATCGTCAGCTGAAGACCGTCTTGCTTGGATAAGCCCTCCCGCAAAGGAACACCCGACGTCCCCTGCAATCGACCCACCGCGTAGAAGCTTCAGTAGATCTATGACAATAAAGCTCACCTTCTCTACTACTCACCCCGAAACACGCATTTTCTCTCGAATCGATCCACATTGTTTCCTGCTCTTCTATACGCCCGATCGGCTGTTGACAACAGGAGTTGTTCGGAGAATTTTGGCCCCGACGGACGTGACCCCCGGAGATCGCGTTCGAGAAAACAGAGAATCTCCTTGCGAGGGGCAAAATTATCGCGACTCGCTTCTGACGCTGACGGCAGCAGTCTATTCACGCCGCGTCGCTGCAGGGTACATTCCTGGAAGAGGCTAAGCTTCCGAGTACAATAGTTTGCCGCACTCCTGATTATGACGGGGTCGCTCTCTGTCTCAGAGGTGGGAAGTCCGAGGATTCCTCGCTCAGGAAGTGAAGTATCGCACCATTACAACCGACTCCGGACCCATCTCGATCTGTAGGAGCCTAATCTCCGGCCTTTTCTTTATTTTCCGAATGAACCGTCTGGTACACCATCGTTCATGAGTTTCGTGCAGAGGTGGCACGTGCAATCCCACAATCCGCAACCCGCGGACAAAAGCTCGAATCCCTCGTGGCCGGAGTCACTCACGGGAAGTGATTTGCTCCCTACATCGACGGGATGTGAATTTAAGGGCATCGCATCGACTACAGCCTTTCGGGGTCCGCCTGTGAGTCCCGCTTCTCCCTTCCTCCTCTCTCTTTCGGAATCCCAAGACGGTCTGTGATGTTTTGACGGCCTACCAGAGTGAGCGTTCCAGCCGCTCCTGTGGTGCGTCGCTCCGTGGTTTCAAGAAATTATTGTGAGTACAGCTGTAGTCTTCCAGGATAACCTAAGATTGGATTAGTTACATTGATACGATTCGCCGTATTGGCACCAGTCTGACGAGACCGGAGACTGAGTTTCCTACTCCCCACTATCGCGAACATTCGCGATGAGCCCCCGAAACTTTCCGGACGGAACCCTCAAAGGCTTCAAAGTCTCTGCCTTACATTTGCTCGCATACTGGATATTCAGAGCCCATGCTTCGGTCCAGCTCATCCCGACGATCAGCGATGCTGCCGCTGTCTGTTGAGATTCGGGAGCGACATTCAAAGACCTCATGGCTCTGCGTTGGTGGCCCAGGAGCGGCATCGAAAAGCCGACGCTACGCTGGCGTGCGAGCCATCACCGCTATCCCCGCTATCCCCGCTATCCCCGCTATCCCCGCTATAGAATAAAAGCGTAAGCGCTTCGTTTGTGAGCCGTTTCTCGGCTCTTTCTCCTCGCCAACTTCGGCGCACATGTAGTTTGGCGGTTGCATAATGATCCCCCGGTGTGCAAGTTGATGTTTTTTTCTTATCCAATGCCCCCCGCCCACTGAATGTCAAAAAACCCTCATTCTTGACTTCGGAGCTCATGTGGTACTATGTGGTACTAAGGTACGCTTTGCTCCGATTGTGGTGGCTCCGGTGGCGCGACAAACCGCCGCAATCGCTTTCGTTCTTGCTGATGGGTCTTTCTGGCCCGATTCCGAGAGATTCCAGAATGTTCTCATTTCCCCCTCCCCGCCTACTGATTTCCGTCTTTTTGACTTCGACACTCATGTGGTATCCTGTGGTACTTAGGCAGGTGCGCTGTGTCCGATTGTGGTTCGAATGGCACCTCTTTGTTCGAAATCGGTCATCGCTGATGGGGATATATATGACGACTCGCTGATGGTGACATATATGACATTTTCGCAACTCAATCCAATATTTATTTAGCGCTTGCGCTTCTATTTTATGGGGTGGAGGGTGAATTTCCCGACTGAAATCCTCAGTCTCCGTAGCATGAGCTCACAAATGATGCTGGAACGCAAGCCGAAAAGACAGCCGGCTCCAGCCGGCCGGAGGCCGGCTGGTAGTCCATAAAGGCTACAATATCGTGAATAGGACGTGATTCACGAGATTCCGCCGTTCTCTCTCTCCTCGGTTGATGTTTCGAGTGATTCCTACCGAATTTTTGTGAACTCCCGGAGCCGGGTCTGTGAAATTCGCTTCCTCGGGGAGTTCCGGATCGGAATAACATGTTCCGAGCGCGATGCGGGAGCCGGGATCTTGAAACGCGAGTTTCTCGAATTTGACTAAATCGGGGGATATCGGACAAAGAAATCGAGGTCTCGCCCAGGTAATCCTTGGTGCTCGGGAGACCAAGGAAACCAACCCGAAAAACCCTTCTTAGTCGAGAAGGGCTCGGATATGGCCGTTCGAACATTCCGAGTTTCCTGCCGTTTGGATTCACGGGCTGGAAGTGCGTATCAAGTCCCTGCCTTTTCATGTTTCCGGTACCAGGTTGAGTCATTCGACCTTTCGCGCATTTGCACGCTTTCGTGGTCCTTCGGCGTCGCTCTCCGTCGCTTTCTCGCTTGTCCAGCTTGAGTGAACGCCGATGAGCCTCCGGGCGAGACTTATGCTCTCAATCTCTGTATCTTCATCCCGTCCATCGACTCGGAATAGTTTTTCCCCCTATTGACAATGAGATTTTCGCTATGGCATGAGTGGAACAGGGAGATCTCCTTCCGATTCTGTGACTGAAGATTCAGACCGGTCGGGAGATTCGCCTCAAGATTCGCGTCATCGAAATCATTTAGCGTTCATCATTGAATTGGTCATGAAATCGGATAATCTCAAACTAATTAATAATTTATGAAATAAAGAAAAGCATCCGATCCCTATGATTACAGGTGCGGAATCGCCATCGCCATGGTTTCTGTCAACAACAGCGTGTTCCCCCCGCCGAGAGGAACATTCACCGCAAAGATCCAGAACAGAGATGAATTACTCGGGGACAAGCTCGAATCGAGCCCACGATCACCGCTGCAAGAGCAAGCTCACCCCGAGAAGCACATCTCTCTCGATATGACAAATAACAAACTGAACAATTTCACCTACAAGGGAAACGCGGAGAAATCTCCGGATATCTTCTCCGCGAAAGAGCAGATTGTCGCCCAGGACAATCTCCGTCTCGTGGCTTTCTCCCGAATTCTACTGGCTCAGATCTGCCATTGGTCAATTATCTCCGTAGGCGGTATCGTCAGCGCTATCTGCAACTACCGCGCTAGTCCCGAGAAAGAGTTCATCATTCTGACCTTGATCTTCCTCTTCGTGTTGATCTGCAACCTGTGCTACTTATCGGCAACGCAAGATCTCGAAGCTTATCGGGGGGACTATAGCCGCGGAAGTTTCGCTCGTGACCTCTACCTCAACGTCTTCAAGCTCGTTGCGCTCACCCTCTCGATTTGCGCTCTGAATGTGGCCTTCTCGAGTTTCAGTCAGATCTTCTTCAATATCGTCTCTATGAGCGTACTCCTGAGCCTCGGGGGATTCTTCTGCCTGGCGAGGTTCTCCCACATGTTTCCCAAAGTACGTCATCTGCTCAACGGCTCGCTCGTCGCTGCTTCCATTTCGCTCAACATCTTCGGACTCATCTTCTTCGCTCCGTACCTGAACAATTGGCTGAGACCAAATCCTTTTACTCTCGTCGCAGCGACTATCGTCGGCTTCCTCTTTTCGGCTGCATTCCTGATTCAGAGTAGATCTTTCTCGATCGATAACGTCCAGCAGAGGATCGCAATCCAGGACTACGGCTGCGCGGGCACTGTCAACATCTACACCGTCTTCATGAGCAAATTATGGATCAAAATCGCGGGGAAGGAACTGTACGATCAGAATTAGGGCCCGTGAATCTTCACCGGAACCAATTTTCCTGGTTGCTTCTTCCCTCCTCGTGCCTGATCGCTCGTCTCGAGTCAGACCTGTGTTCCGTATGGTAGACAGTAAAGTCAGAAGCGCGAAGCTGTTATACATGCCTATCATTAAATATATATTATTATATACCTATTATATTGACCGTAAGCCGTATACCCTAACCCGCCCTGACTCCACGATGCAGCAGGCTATCGTCGAGAACGAAGAGCGTTCATCGTGTCATACCAAAGTTACCCAAACTAAGGCTAAATGCACTTTTTGCGCTTTTGCAAGAATACCTCATCGTTTCTTGCCTGCGGAAGTTTTCCTATGCTCATTGATCTCAATGGAGGGACTTTCTTACGATTGATTACGACCGATCCACCCCATATCTACAGATCTTGGAGCGATAGGGCTCACCCTTCGAGAGCGTGAAGCTATTTCACTTCCCCCGTGGATTCTGAACTGTTCTTTGTCGGGAAAGTCGAATTGAGTGGGAAGAGCCACCTGGTCAAATAGAGACGTCGATCGCGGAGGTTTTCCGAATCGCGCTAGCTGTCTTGAGCGAATCGAACAGGGAGACAAAGCTCTGGGAAGGAGCATGCTTCCTCTGAGGAACCATGCTTAGCGGAAAACTATGAGAATCGTAGGATTCCGTTCGACAGCCTCTCCCGACCTAGAAGCCATTCTTGAGTTTTCCAACAGTCCCCCCGCCCCCCCATGAAATCATCCCCTACCTAAGCCTCCGATGCTGGCAGAACTTGCGGGGACCGACCCGCGAACAATACGGCAGACGAGGCAAACGCTGAGATCCTCCACCTCAGCCCCCTCGGAGGACGGATTTAGGCGCTCCCGATAAGCGTGAGAGGACATCCTCCCGCTTTTCGCTGAGAGGAGACCTACGACTAGGACGTCAACATTTCGAAACACCCACAAGCTCGAAGTCACGCCGTGAGACAGGAACAATTTCCAATCAGCTTCAATGTGGTCGGAACCTGAAAGAGCCGGGAGCCGGAGCCAACCTCAGCAGCTCAACTGATATTACCGGGGGATATAACATAAGAAGACTGATGGAACCATGACTAATGATTGATCTGTACTGGGGACTCCGCGCGGCCTTTATCACAAAAACTCACGCCCGCATATCCGAATAAGATTTCCACGGCGAGCTGAGATCGACGACAATCATCGATCTCATAAAGGAGCATTCCGCGAATAATCATCATCCATTCCTCCTCGAAGTGTTCGCGGGAAAGCATCATCGGTGCGTGCTCCAGTCAAGCCGGCATCCTGCGACCCGCGGCTAAAATTATTTCCAAGTCCTCTTGGAAGACGGTGGGGAAGAAGGGCGATTAGGGTTGCCCCTGCATCGCTGAGAGCCGGCGAAACTGGGCTACAAAAATCGGTTTTCTGGGGCCCTGCGAGAGCCGTTGGGAGCAACACGAGGTACTTGAGGACCATGCTCTCACAGCGCTGCGCAGAACAAGTCGGCTCCGGAATCTCCACGCAGATTTGGAGAATCGGAGCTTCTCCGCGCCCCTGCCGCTCTGGATTGTGAATCCTGTCCGGCACGGGAGTATCAGCCAATCGACCCCACGACACTTATACGGTACCGACAGGGATTGCGAGCGACGGGAGAAAATCATCCACGGACACTTCCGATGAATTCAGGATAAGTAAAAATCAGGTCCGGTCCCCTGCCTGTGACGAGTCGAGGACTCTCGTTAATGAAGGAGTCCCTAGCAGAGATCATCAGCATCACCGATGTCAATTGACTTGTCTGCGACAGCGGTAATTTCTACGCAGAGCGAAGGTCTCTCGAGAAGTTCGCCCGTCTCGTTTCCAGAGATACATACCTGGATACAGGTCCGCTTCATTCCTCAGCACAGCTTTCTCGCGCTCTCGTACATTCCGCGCTCAGCACCTACCGAGCCGGTAACGAGTGTCATTCGAAGAGAGGAGGCGCTGTAGTCGATCGCCATCTTGTTTTGCCGTCGGTTGGTCCACTATCCACTAGAGTCGCGGACGACGGACGACCCTCTCATTGAGAGGACCCCGGAATTTTTTGTCAGGCAGAAACGTCCCTCGCTAATCGCTCCGAGTCCAGCCGACTTTCTCGTGCGGAGGCGCCATGGAGGCTCTAATTCCGGTCATCAATAAGCTCCAAGATGTTTTCAATACAATCGGAACAGATGCGATTCAACTGCCGCAGATAGTCGTTGTCGGAGCGCAGGTATGAAGTTCTTCCAATGAGTTTCCGTTCTCCCGTCACTCGGGTCTCTCAATGGCTTGGATACGGCTCCTCGGGGGATCTTTCGAGGAGGAACGCTCCGCGAGCCGGTGTCTAGGGCGAGCGCCTGTGGGTGAACCAGCGTTCGACCTTGCATTAGATCCACCTTTGTCAGAAAATCATTCGCCGGCTCTCGCAGAATCCAAGCTCGATCGGATGTGGAGGACCGTCGTGCAATTCGTAGCCCAGATCGCGTTCCGCTTGCGGAGAAAGTTTGCGGACGAGAGGAGCGATAATGACATCCGTGGCTCATTTCTCATGGTTGGCATCAGCGCAAGAATTTTGCGACGCAAACGAGGAAATGAACAAGTTTCTGAACTGGAATCCTGCCGAAGCGACCAGTCGGAGCATTCGGAGCGTCGAAATTCTAATGAGTGAGCATAACGACGGAGGGAGCACTTGCTCAGTCAGAGGGAGCCATCGACCCTTTTTAACTTTTCGAACGGATAAGGCTTGCGAGATCTCCCCTGCGAGGGTCCCGCTGCCTCAGCGGAGGTTGTTGGCCTTGGAGCCAACAAGGACCTCAGAGCTTGACATTCGTAGCTGGCGAGGCGGAAAGTTCGGGGATAAACACTCTGGGTCCGTCTCTCAATTCCGTTGCGTGCTGGGAAACTCGGAATTTTCGAGCAGATATCTGGTAAATCGTCGTCCAGCGTGATGTCATTGTGGAATTCTCCTCGCGTGATTGGCCAGAGACGCAGGCCTCATCCGAATCGCCTCCTTGAGCCCTCATCATCGCGTTATCCCGCATAACGAGCATTCCTGCTTTTGTCGTGCGCTTCAGAGTGCGGGCTTTTGTGCGGGGCTGGGGTTCGGGGTAATCCCGATTTGGAGAATGATACTCTCTAATCATGGGGGAAAGTTCCAGCCTCTAGAATACGGGTTAGTCCGACTTCCCCTTCGCAGTTCATGAGAGTCCACATCGTTTTATCCGAAAAGGAACGAGAGCGATGCAAGAAGCGACGACGGCGATAACCTCCACAGGGCGCTAGTACCTTACTTAGTACATCGCCATAATTAATGAAATGGAAACCAGAAGAGAAAAGACGTGAACGAACATAAGAACCGTATATCTGTCTGAAGAAATTGACCGTCCTAGGTCTAATTCCCGATATACATTACAGAGCTCAGGCAAGAGTTCAGTCTTGGAAGCCATCGTCGGGAAAGATTTCCTGCCAAGAGGATCTGGAATCGTCACCCGGCGACCCTTGGTGCTCCAACTGGTTCATGTTGCCAAGGTGAGTCACGAGATTAGCTCATGAGGAAAAAAATCTGTCTTCTGCTGACGATCCGTCTGTGACATCGGATGACATCGACCAATAATCGCTCGGCTCTCCTAGGATGACAACTCCTACCGATGTGCCGATGAGGGGACACTGAATCTGGATGAATGGGGAAAATTCCTCCACACCAAGAACAAAATTTTCACAGATTTCGATGAGATCCGAACAGGTAACTTCTCCTCTTGTGTCCTCGATCGATATCCGGTGCGGGAATCAAGTTCCGTACAGAATGCTCGGAGCCCGAGTGTTTCCGAGAGTCGGGTGCTCAACCTTCGTCGTTCCATTTCAGAAATCGAGAATGAAACTGTTCGATTATCCGGAGCGAACAAAGGAATTTGTCCTGAAGCCATCAACCTGAAAATTTTCTCTAACAAAGTTGTAAACTTGACGTTGGTCGATCTTCCTGGCCTGACGAAGGTCCCCGTGGGCGATCAACCCGAGAATATTGAGAACCAAATCAAAGAACTCATTTTCAAATATACGGTGAACCCGAACTCTATCATCCTTGCGGTGACCCCGGCAAACACAGATTTCGCAACCTCTGAAGCGATCAAATTAGCTCGAGATGTCGATCCAGAAGGTGAGTCACGCCCTCGCAGGATCTGCTTCATACCGGAACCAGATAGTTCCCGAGCTGGACTGAATGAGATATCTGAGGATAAATATAAAAATATCTGACGGAAAAATCGGTTCTTTCCCAGGACGCCGCACCTTGGCCGTCATCACGAAACTGGATCTGATGGACGCCGGCACAGATGCCGTGGACGTACTGTGCGGTCGCGTGATTCCCGTGAAGCTGGGAATTATCGGCGTCGTGAATCGCTCTCAACAGGACATCAACGAGAGGAAGAGCATTTCGGATGCGTTGAAAGATGAAGCGAGTTATCTGCAGCGCAAATATCCAGCTCTCGCAAACAGGAATGGAACTCCGTATCTCGCGAAAACGCTGAACAGACTTCTGATGCATCACATCCGCGACTGTTTGCCTGAGCTGAAAACACGTGTCAACGTCATGATTTCCCAATTCCAACAACTCTTAAATTCATACGGAGAGGCTGTCGAGGACAAGGGACAGACACTGTTACAAATAATCACCAAATTCGCCTCTGCCTACTGTTCCACCATTGAAGGTGAGGATTGCACTCCTTATTTTTCCGTCCTCATACGCGTCTGGACTAGATTCCTATCGCATCGCTTCAAATAGTGAGGGGAAATACCGTAGTTAATCAATGACCGTTGCAGGCACCGCGCGTAACATCGAGACGACGGAGCTGTGCGGCGGGGCTCGAATATGTTATATTTTCCACGAGACGTTCGGAAGGACCCTGGACGGCATTGACCCGCTGGCGGGTTTGACCACACTTGATATTCTGACGGCCATTCGGAACGCGACAGGTCCCCGTCCAGCGCTTTTCGTCCCGGAAGTGTCCTTCGAACTCCTCGTGAAACGTCAAATCCGGAGATTGGAAGAACCATCTTTGCGGTGCGTGGAGCTTGTGCACGAGGAAATGCAACGAATAATCCAACATTGTGGCATCGAAGTACAACAGGAGATGCTCCGGTTCCCGAAACTACACGAGTCCATCGTCGAGGTTGTGACCCAGCTCCTGAGACGGCGGCTTCCCCCAACTAATTGCATGGTCGAGAACATGGTGGCCATCGAGTTGGCTTACATCAACACGAAGCATCCCGACTTCCACGATGCTGTCCTGGTGCGAGGTCTCTCGAAGGGTGGGTAGTCCACGACATCTGGGTTTGTGATTCGGACTGCTCGTGACGGCGACGCCTCCTGCTCAGTCGTTCTTAATTGATTTCCTTCTTCGAGCAGGTCTCCTCGAGGAGAAACGTACCATCAAGAGCTCCCTGTCTGGCGCGGGTGAGTCAGCGAGCGCTGCTAACGGTGTCGGTGAAGGTGCCGTCAACGGTGAAACGAAAATCATCAACAAGGTCAGTACCCAATCGCCCCCCCATCCTTCCCGGCATTGAATCGTTCAGTGCAGATGTTCCCGTTTGGCATCGGTGCTCTGGTCCTCTTTCATCTGCTCGACGGTGTTGGTTGGCTTCGTTCAGATCGTCTCATCGTATTCGAGTCATATTCACGGGAAATTGTCCCGCCTCATTGACACACCGAGTAGATAGGAAAGCTGATCTTCGCAATTCCATTCGTATGATCATGCTGCCATTCCCCTCCTCGCCTTATCAGCTGAAGACCTCGAAGTTGAGAACAATGGACATTCATTGACATTGGTTCCGGTTTATTTTAGCTCAGGGATCGATCCCCAGGCAGGCTGGTCAGGGTACGATTTAATTTTAGAGTGTTCTTCCGAGAAGTGCTGGTCTAGGCTTCACAGCGAGAGTGTGCACGGCAATTATCTCGACGCTTGCGATTGCTTGGCGACGACCTAAAGCACCCGGTCTAGTGAAGCCGAGAGATTCTTGGAGCACGAAGAGGCTTCCTGAGAAAGACGTTAAAAACTATTCAGAACTCCGTGTCTCCCGAGAAGAGACCGTTGAAGTTTCCCCCCGCATTATGCATGCTGAATCTGCCTGAGCTATCTAAGGGCTGCGGCTTTCGGAAACCGATGGAGATACTCATTTCATTTTTTTCCAGAGTACCTCCCTGAGGGCATTTAATGCGAGCCAAGAAAACGCAGCCGCGTCTTCTGGTATCCAAACCGCGATGCCCATCTCGGCAGGAGGCTTCCTAGCCAACCTGATGGGGACGGCTTCCTCGGGTCAAAACACCCCTGCTCAAGGAGGAACGCCAGCTCATACTCTTGCACTCAATAGCCCCGCAAAGCCCGTTAATCTTCTCCCAGAAGTTGTGAGTAGAGCCGTATAATTCCCAAGGATCATGCGGTCAGGGTTCCCAGAGCCTTCGTATCACAGAGCTATCAGTACGAAGAATCATCGAAGATTCAATCAAATCAGGCCGAAATCCGTCCGGAGATTCGAGAGAGCGGGACCAGAGCCCTGGATGTTGAAATTGAGGCGTTGCCACGATCTTAATTACAGCCAATAACAGCACCCGCACGCAAACTGTCGCCGAGGGAGCAGCACGACTGCGAGGTCATTGAGAAACTCATCAAGAGCTATTTCCTCATCATTCGAAAAAGCATTCAAGACTCCGTGCCCAAGGCAATCATGCACTTCCTGGTGAACTACGTCAAGGATAATCTCCAGTCTGAGCTCGTGACCCACCTCTACAGACATGACGAGTTCAACACGCTTCTGTCTGAAAGCGACCACATTGGGGCTCGCCGAAAAGAGGCCATCGAAATGGTCAAGGTGAGTTCGAATGGTCGACGAGTCAGCGAGTAGAGTTTCCCGCCGTCTGGCATCCCCCAGCTGTCGAAAACCCCGTCTGATCCTTTCCGTTCTTCTTCCAGGCTTTGCAGCGAGCTAGTTTGATCATTGGCGAGATTCGCGAGACGCATATGTGGTAGACAAGGAGCGGATCGTCGACGAACATGATTACGTTTAATGTTGCACATAAAAGTGTTGGATTGCATGTCAGGGCGAAGTCTCATATGAGAGGATCTTGGCTCCTGTGCAGCTTCTGATCGTTATCACGTCCACGTTCACCGACGTACCCCCCTCTCAATGCACTCATTCACGGGAGTCTGTGGAAGTGTTCGATAAACAACTCTGCTGAAGTGTGGTACGGCTTATTAGACCAGCGAGCTGGCAGAAGAGTATTAGTTCGGTGAGCCGCATCGCGTCCGGTCGCCATCTTCGACTCAATGATAATTCTGATGGACGAGTGCCGCGATGCAGGCTCTCACCTGATTCAAAGCGCTGCAGCCGTCGCTTCCGAAACAGTCGATTGTACATACAATGCTCGGGATGACTGCGAAATCATTCTTCGGAGTGGTCTACGGTTTTTTGCAGAAATAAAGTGTGATCATGTTAGGGACGCGCCAGACAGAAATTCGGAGTTTTCAATCATCTCCTGTTCACCGAACTCGAGCTTCCGGGTTCCTCGAAATTGTCTGATTGAAACCGATCCGATTATGATACATTCGTCTGAAAAGTCTCCCAACTCGATTTCCTCCCGGGAATGTTCGGAATTTCATTCTGATACCCGGTACCGAGCTCAGTCGAAGATTTTCTTCGTTTCGGCCGTTCATTAAGCGTCGTGGCTCGTACCCTAGAAGGATCGCGGGTTGCGGCAGCTGCTCCTAGGGCTCTGAATATCGGAAATTTATGCATATGCATCGAGAAGCCATCGGATCGTGTCCAGAGTGATGAATGAAATTGAAAAAAATTGAGAGAAATTAAGCATCAGTATGGGACATGGATGCTTCCTCGCGGAGACGCTCAGATGCCTGGCTAGGGGGGGGGGTCAGAGGAGAAATCATGGAACGACCCAAGTTTCCCAAATCTTACTCGATCAGAGCTGAGGGCAGTCATAGGACACAGCGATTTATTTACAGTTCTTGACGAGTACCTATGCAAATCACAGCCTCTGGGAAACTCGTGCAGCCAAGGAGCGCATGTTGCCGTAAACTTTACTCGGAGGTTTTCCGAGGATGAGATTGCATATCGCCGTGCGCGCAGCACGTATGTTTTGGAAGGAACCGAGGATATGGATTTTATTGTCGGCAAGGACAATCCGAGTCTTCGTGGAGTTCTCAATGGTGAATTTTGTCCGACCTCCTTTACCAGCCAGGCGTCCGATGCATCGAGAAAGATGATCACCCTTCAGAGTTTTCACGTCCTCCACCTGGAAGGTCTCAATGAAGAGCTCGTCGAGCCTGAGCAAAGCCAAGGCATCATCAACATCGAAACCGAGCGCGAATGCTCGAACGAAATCCTCTCCTCGCTGTAGACCACCACTCTCGGTGGTTTTCGCCGAAGCCTGCGAAACGGGAGTTCAAGAACTTTAGAAATATCAGTGCAGTGCCTGAGGACATCATGCAGGATAACAGCAGAAAGGATAATTTCAGACAAAAATATTGGTGTAATTATCATCAGGAATAGGTCGAGCCCGTTCCACCTGCACCGTCATCCCGGGAAGTTCATGAATATCGTACCTTCAGCTCAACGGTGAATTTTTTGGGAACGTAGCGAACCATAAGAGCAAGATGCTCCACCAGAGGCGTAAATATTTTGGCCCAGTTCTCTTTCAGAGGAGTCCGTCGATGAGGCGGGATTTGAACCTGGAATTTTGTTCAGGTCAGAGGTTCCGAGTAGAAGCATACGATTTGAATGATTTTTTCAAGAAGTCGCACAAACGAACCTTGCGGATATCGCGAACTGACGCTTGTCCCACGTTCGCCTGCTTCGCGGGAGGGTAATCGATGACAGCTTTGCCGGTTTCGTCGGGTTGTTCTGCAAAACACGGACATCCTCCATCAGATTAACGAGCTTGCCAATGGGACAGGCTCCGAGGGAATAGACGCAGAGGAAGTAGGCTCTTCGATACTCCACAATTGACAGCTGATTCCATCTGTCTCCACCGAAATCGGTCAGCCATGGAGCGATATTACACGGTTATTACACACTGTTCCACGAGCGATCGTTGAGAAAAAAAAATCTTTCCCCGGTTTCGGACATGCGACGGGACAATATACCATAAGGAACCGAGGAATTAATTAGGCGAGAGTGTATATGATGATCTTACCGTCGACTTCCATTTCGAACTTCCTTTTCGAGGCTCGACGTCGTTTCACCTCGACGAAATCATTCTTGGACTCTTCAGCCATGTCAAATGCTCGAGCGATGCAGTCCAGGGGGCGGATACTACTTTTCACAGGAGCACGCACCGTTCGAAGATTGTGGGAACAGCACGTGGTAGCCCTCGCTCGTTGTTTCTGTTTATGAATGATGACGGGTGCTGCTCACAGGCGTGCTTGAGCGAGAAGGATGATCTTGCCTGCTCTGAATACCTCCGGTAGGCGATGTGCAGCCGATCCGGATCGGATCGGAAGGAAGGAGCTTCGGAACACCCCATCGGATGAATGATGGCGAGAATTCGCCGAAAACTCGGAAACTCTTAGCACTTCTACGGGGCCTTTTTTTCCCTCCGTATATCGAAGAGAGAGATCACATGGGATCGACAGACAACCTCTCAGAACGCAATACACTTCAAGAGTATGAATGACTCCTCACAGTATTTAGTATTGCGGGAGAGTCGGCGGTCGTCGGACCAGAAAAAAAAACATTCTAGACGAAGCACGGACATAGAAGTCTAAGAATAGTTGATCGCGCTGGCACGAGAAAGAGGTAGTCTATCCTGCTTTATCATCATCTTCCGCCTGTGCGGATTTGGATTCTTAGAACTCTCTCTGATCTCCGGAGGGAGTCATTATCTACCCTAACAACGTCGATGGCTGCCGTCATCCGGCATCTTGTTCTCCTGGATCTGGGTACATTTAGATTTACTCATCGAACTGAATCTCGTGGCCTCCTCCTCAGCGAGAGTTTAGGACTTTGACTTGAAGAAACAGGAAATCGAGAAGTTGGATAGATGCAATAATTCGTGTGATGTTCGCTCTGTTGACTGTCGCAGCTGAATTTGATTGAGTCTCGGATGCGTCAGCTTGGGACGATGTGCCCGGATTGCGACGAGTCGTTGAAGTAAAACCAATGCCGCACGTCATTGCACAGGAGATCCGCTCCTAGACTTCAGTTTTTTATTTCCTGGACCCAGTCAGAGACCGAATAACAATGAATTCCCGTTCCCAGATATCAATGACTGAAGTTCAATTAAATCTATGCTTTATCCCTGGCATTCTTTTGGCGTGCAGCTCCTCAGAACTGTATGAAGCTCCCGAGCGTCGTGACCGTGTCCTGTTCATTCGTTTGCGGCGATGGCGACTGTTTCGCGTTCGATACGATCTCTGCAGCAAGGGCTCTGATCGCCTCTTGGATGAAGGGAAACTTCTTCAGGACCTGCATCGGATGTTCAAGGCTCATACACTTCGAATACCAGGGGGCGTATGTGTGTTCAATTCTTCAAGAGAGCTGGGGAATTCATTCTCACCTGGTGAAAATCCTCGCTTCTTAATTCCAGGAGGCTGCAGTGAGTCTTCGCCCTCACCGTTGCATTCCTTTTGCACGGCACAAGGATACTCAGCTCACCGAAATACATCCCTCCTCCTAACGTTGTGAGGATTTTCCCGTACTCGTTGGCGACCGTGACTTTCCCCGACTGGATGAAGAACATGTTTGAACCTGGAATTATGATCTTTTAGCCTGCTTCGGGAATTCGAGGAAGGGCCACAATTCCCGTGGTATCGGTCGTTTCCTCCCTCATCATGATTTGGGAACTATACTACCCTAAAAGTATCAGGAAAGAAGTCTTCGAACGTCGATCGCGTCGCACCTACCGAGAGTCCCAAATTTCGTTATGAGATCATCGGGTTGGAAAAAGTTGAATCTCAACCTCGTGACGAGCTCGTTGACGAAGTGAGGATCCGCTTTCGCGAAGAACGGTACCGATCGCACGGTCTCCTCGCAGTTGTGTCGCATTACTACCTCCTTCAATGGATCCGAGAGTGTGTTCAAGATCTTGCTTTCATTGAAAACATGGCCTTGATACCTCTGATCAAAGTAGTCTCTAACTCGAACTCTGAGCTTTGCGGGGAATCTCCGAAACGTCATGTAGTCCTCGATCTCTTGCATCTATAGCAAAATAGGGGTTGCTAGCTGAGCAGGCGGGCTCTCGGGTCATGGGTCGAATACAGTGTCGATTAACGCATCGCCGTCAAAGAGCTTACTTTCTGTCTGTGAAGCTTGCGAGAGGCATCTACGTGCTGCCACATCGTGGCGATATTGGCCAGAATCAACGCGTACCCCGAAGTCCCCGTCACCATGCCCCACAGGGTGAACCACATATCGACCAGGGTTTCGGGCGTGGATCTTCCGAAACCTATCCCGAATGTCTGAGATACGGCGTTGAACAAGGACCACGACCATTGCTCGAACCAGGGGGCGTTCTGTGGATTGAGAGAGAACGGTACAGAGAGTGAATTCGTCCTGCAACCTCATGTTCCTTCCTTATGTGGCCCTAAATATATGCCTATATGATTGCGCTAAGCTCTCTGAAATCGCTAGGCTGTATTATACTTGTAACCCGAGTTATATCTTTACCAACCTGGAGTTTACTGATCGAAATCCAAGATTTCGGAGGAAAGCCGAGGCAGTGATTGACGAGGAATTGCATGCAGCCATTCCAGTGTGATACAATGACCATTAAGAGCGCCAGACTCAAAACTCGCGCGTACATGTATTCCTGAGCGTAAAATATCTTCTGACACCGCGGCAAGTACCGGTAGAGCCGACAGAGCCGAAGGATTCGAAGCATTGCGAGCACCTTAACCGCCTGCGCTACGGCATCGTTCGGATGTACATCAAGATCTGAATTAAAAGAAACATGCAATTTCAGCTCGATGGACTGCTATCGCTGACCTTTCATTACTCTGATGTAAGAGAGCTTCTAGAGCTGTCTGTGCAGACGACTCCGGCGCCGGGCCTCTCCTCCGTCCCGGTTTCGATATAGGGGAGCCATGACGTCAGGGTCGAACTCACGAGTAGCAGTTTGTAGAATTATAATTATGCTATAATCGAAGGGGACCGTTGACAACAGATCGACGGCGAACCAGCCCCTGATATAATTTCTCCGAATTTCTTGTGGCTTCATTTTCAGTGTTGCGACCGCCGTGTGTTCCTCGATATATCCTATCGAGAATTAGAAAAATGTTAGATTGAACTCGCACGGATATATATAGTCGAAAAATTCGACTGCTCCTGAAAATCCTGACCGATCGGAGAAACTCGAATATTTATCCGAACCTGTCCAGAAGTTGAGTAGGATATCCACGGCGAATATAATATCCAGGATAACATTGAGTATGAGAAGTTCGATCGGGTCCAGGACATCCGGGAAGAAAGCAGCATTCAAAGGTGCCTCAACGAGAACAATGACGACCAGTAATATGATAAAAAGATCCCATTTTTGCCTGTGGATGAAAATTTGGTCAGCTCGATCTTGACTCGGAATCGCCGCCTCCCCCCCTCCTGAGCTCAATCTCTGCCTGTATGTCTTGAACGGTAACGCCACCTGCGGGGATTGGAGGGATGGATGACCCATGGATGATAGCACGCCTTGTCGTCGACGCGATCACCCGGGAACACTTTGAGGCATCCTTTGCGATTCTTCGCTGGGAAGAAGAATCCTTGTACCTGACGTTGAATCAGGCCTCGGCAGAAAGCGGCGTTCTCCTCCGTTCCCAAGAGCGGAGATTGTGGCTCGGGCGAGCATCTTCCTTCTGTCGCGGGAGTTGACGCTTTGAAAGACGTTGTTGTGAATAATCCGCTCAATGCCACTACCGGCCGCCTCAGAGAGTTTTCCATTAGGCTATGAGCCAGATATCACTGAGCGTCGCGATTAGGTATTCCCGCGACTCACCTCGTGAATTCGGTGGAGAAGTTTTGCCATTATTCAAAATCGGTTTATCGATTCCGTATTTGCAGAAGTCATACTGTGCTTGCCAGGGTTTGTCGCCGAAGTTTGAGTTCAGTCGGGACGGCGTTGTCGCATCGCTGGACGCGTCCGATTTTTCGCCGCCCAGAAAGCTTGGATCAAGATTCGCGACTTTCTCTGGCTGCGATGACAGCCTATTTTGCCAAATTGCGCGGAAGTTCCCTCTTGTCATCGGCATGACAGAATGAACTCTGTGGGAAAGAGAGGGATGAATTACTCTGAGAATCTCAAATCGAAGAAGGAACGCAACATTTTTCGTAAATGATAAATGACCGATTCGACGCTAGAAGTCGAATTAGAGCGAAAGTCTCTCTCGCGAGCGAATCAGAACGATCCTACGCATTGGAGAGGTTCTGGAGGTCCGACATAAATTCGGAAGAGTCACTCACCCAACGGTGTAGTAGCACTGGTCGTCGTCCTGAGACTCTCCTGCGTCTGCCGAGAATTTGAAGTGAAGAGATTCGGTCAGTGGCATGATTCCACCGAAGTACGCGCTCGCTAGAAGAAGGATCGAGCCGATAAATTGAGACCACTGTCACCTCGGAGCTGGCTTCCTCTGCGCCACACTCAGCAGACCTACAGCCTGCGTCTCCTTCTGACGCTAGGAACGAATTTCCGGGTCGACGCCGACAGCTGAGTTTTCCTCCATGGCTTGCATAACTGTGCGACAGAGCTCTAGTCCAACCGAGCAGGACCTGACGACTTCACAACCGAACGGACCGATAGGATGTGACTTTCGGGTTTCAGCCCGAGGCTATCGATTAAAAAGTCTGACGATCGCCCCACGCGGTTCAAATCCTCGGGGGCTAGTCCGGGGCTCGTCAGACGATATAATCGACTCGCGCTCAAACTCGACTACCACGCTGCGCAGCGAAGGTGATGCGTTTATACGGAACTTTATCCAAAACTCTCTCCCCGGTTTTTCAGATCTCGCACTACTGTTCCCGACCCTGTCGCTTTCCGGAAGCTTTCTTCCCGTGGAGGAAGATCACAGACGCTCCGCGCCCCAAGTATTGACCGGCGACCGCTTACTCAGAATCTCGAACCGTGAAAATGCAGAATTAGGAAGGAAATCATTCCAATGTCCGGATTCGATCGACGACAATCGGGTCACAAAATCGATTGTTACCGGCTCTTCGTCTGAAGAGTTTTTCTTCAGTGGCGGACCGTCCGAGCTGCTGCGAGGACTGTTCCGAGAGCGGGGGCAGCTCCTCTCAGCGCATGGCTTCATTAAACGTCCCGCCGCAGCGTCCGCCGTTGACGATTCACCCAGGTAAGCCAGGTGCTCGAACTGGGACAGAGCGGTCGCTTTTCTTGACGAGCACGACACGAAACACAACTCCAATGGCATCTAGAGCCGACAGCGGGTGTCCGCCTAATGAAGCCATTTCTCCTCTCGGGTGGATTCGGTGGGACTTGAGTGTGTTCGTTCTTCTTCATGGCAACTCACCTGCAGTCGGACCCAAATCCGAGAGGGGACCCTTAGAATCCACGGCTGTACTCACCGCGCAGCTCTAGAACAGCGTCGTAGGAGCTACCTAGAAGAAAATCGGGTGGCGGGATTCCGGCGAGGAGCAGTCGATCGCCGGCCGCCACAATCGAAACTGGACAGAGTGAGTGTCGCTGAAAATCCATTGCAACACTCAAAGCCTCAACAAAGAACTTGGTATCGACAATGTCCATCGGCTTCAGAGTTCGTTTGTATGGATCGTCTCGGAACTGCCGATTTTGGTCCTTCCCGATCATCGTCCTGGTCGGCATCCTCTCTAACGCCACGAGCTCCGATCCTACCGGCGCGTGAGTCCGCGCAAAAACATATCGGTCTAGAAAGAAACGATAGACACGGTACCGCGATAGCGAAACTTGCTCACCATGATTGCACGAGGACTCATCACGAGTGGAGCAACCCCCTCGATCAGGGAGCTCCACCCAATCGTTGAACATGAGCGGAATTTTTCGCTCGATGAGAATCTTATGCCTCGAATTCCGAGGGCTCGCTCAAAGAAAAATGCATGTCTCAAAAATGCACTCACTGGCAGCCGAGCTCACCACAGGGGAAATCCCGGTACGGCACCCGCACGACAAAATCGGCTACGTGCGATCTGATCTGTAGCTCGGTCTACACTGAACGCTCCCGGAGTATAGGTTGTTCGATTCGGCTCTATGTGTGTGAAGATCCGACGGATTGCGGTGTGGGAGAAGTTTCAAGTAGACGTTCGGTTCGCTTTTTCGGACTGGCCTGGTCATGCGAGCTCCTCGTTCGTAACGTGTTCGGATCGTTATAGGTTGTGTTCGAGTGCACCTGTCGCGAACCAGAGAGCGCTATTCCTTTCCGGTCAATCAAATCCTTCCCTGAGCGTCCGGACGATCGTGAACTCGAATCAATAGAGGCTGTAGACACCTGAGTGAGACTTATTTTCGGAGTCTGGGCCCCCCACTTGGATGAATCTTGATGAGGGCATAAGAGGATCGACGGCGCTGATGCCTTCCTTAATGGTTTCGCCTCGTGAGGTAAATCGATCTATCCATTACGAACAAGACGTATGAATCATATCGGGAACAATCAATCGGAAGTCTGAGATCGAGAAGGTTGCCGTGCCCGATACGGTTGTCGAAATCTCCACAATCTCCAGGAGTGTGCGCAACGAAACATTGCGTCAGTGGAACGGTGGGCTATAGCTTGACCATTTTATGTCTGACCGTAACCGATTCATTTTGCACGAGACTATCGTCACACGCAAAATGGAGTCAGAAACACTTCGAGAGGCTGCGCCCGAGTCCCTGCAAGGGAAGGGAGAAGATGGAATACTTGATCCATAATTGATTCAGGAGGACGAGCTGCCCTTCAAGTCCCCCCGATCCCTCAAGTTAGTCATTCCACGTTCATCACGGATATCTAGAGGCATTCGGGTCAACAAGATCGGATGTTCTCCCTCATTGACATGAAGAACGGTAGAATAGCCGGGAGTCGCGAGTTTTGGGAGTCTGATAACTTTGATCCTGGTTTCTGGGACCAAGTCTTACCTTACGGGCGGTTTTTCGATCGATAACGGCCGAGAGAGGCGATAGGTGTTGTGTGATGATTGATAACATACAGAGGCTTTCGGAGACTTTCAGAAGTACCTAGTTCGGTACGGCTGAGTTGTCACTTGAGCCTCGGATCGCAGCCGACGAGATAGTCGAGTGTTTGGCGGGCCCTAAGCTCCGAGTATAGGCCGCACTCTTTCTCAGCCATGGATAATTCCGCACGAGCGGAAACCTTCCTGCCATGCGGGAGGGGTGGAGGGCTCGCCCCCATACGACGAAAGATGCTCGAGTCCGACAAGGCTTCACTCATCACCCTGTCGCCGCCTTGATTTGCTTTTTTCCTGAAAAACGGCTGAAGCGGCTTCTGAAGGTACTTTGTGTTCGAGTCGTCCGCCTCCTCGTCGAATACAGACCCCAGATGCTCGCGCCTCGAAGTCACGAGGCTTGAGCCTCACATCGCGGAGGACCTTCGATACCCTGCCGGTCTAGCTGGGACGAGCGTAGCACTCTAAGTCATGCAATCTCTCTTTTCGCTAGCCGCATGAATCTGCGGGAGGAATCGGCTCATGATGTCTTTTCCTGAGACAGGGATGCATCAACAGCTGCAGAAGATTTCATAGTGAGATTTTCACTCCGCGTGATGGAGAGCTCCATATTTCGTCGACACACCCCCTTCGATGCTTTTTTCTTCCTGCACTCGAATGACAATTAGGTCTGTCCTACTCCTCGCTCCTCTTTTAACGACCACCGTGAATGTGGAACGCTGAGATCGGTTAATGTGAGTGTCATCAGGAATCAGAATCCTTTGGGGTCGCTATTACGTATCGAAATATTTGTCTCGCTGGATGCTTGTCGGAAGAAACAGAGTTATTGACGTAACGGGCTCTGACAGCCGAGAAAAGCTGTCTTCCAGTACTGGGTCAAGGTGTTCTGCGGTTCGGCGCGGATACATGACGCAACGATTTCTGCTCGCCGTTCTTCCTACTAACGGCGATCGGCTCTCCTCTCAGGAAGATCTCGACGTTCAAACATTCAGCGAAAGGAGGAGCATCGAAAAAGTTCCACGTGAACTTGTGTGAGCTAATTTGGACAAAGGATTCGAAATTCTACAGACTACAGTACCCTTTCACCGCTTGGCGCAATTGCGGGGCGCTCGAGACTGCCGAAATGTGAAATCTCGAAAGGGTCTCGGGATCGGAAGAGCGCCACGGCATCTCAAGCTCTACGGACGCCTCAGAATTCGGAACGATCTGCTTTGAGGGGGGGGGGCATTACCGTGCGCTCAATTCGGCTATCCCGTCGAGACTCGGCATCCTCTGTTTCAGCCAATCTAGGTCGGTGTACGGGGGGAGAAAACTAATTCGAGTTATGGACAAAGTCTCCTGGAAAGTCTATGGAGAATAGCCGACGACCGAAGCGTTGAACGAGCCACTCGCAGAGATCCGGAATCTCTTTGAAAAAGGTTCCCGGCGGACAGACAATAACGGGCAATAATTGAAGACTTCCGGATGCAGTGGCAGATCCAGAGAGGGGTGGGGGCAAGGGTGCCATGGCCCTCTCCAATAATCTTCGGTCCAAGTATTACAGCCTAGGTCGCGCGGGGGGGGGC